ATGGATAAGAAAACAAGACCCCTACATATGCTGCCCATAAGACTCACTTCAGATTAAAAGACACACACAGACTAAAAATAATGGGATGGAAAAAGATATTTCACGATGGACCTAGAGGGTAGTGTGCTGAGTGGAGTAAGTCATATAGAGGAAGACAAATACCATTCGATTGCCTGTATATGTGAAATCTAAAGAACAAAATAAACAAAAAATAGATATAAATTCATAGATCCAGAGAATATTTTGACAGGAGGCGGTTGTAGGGGAAGGGATTAAGAAGTACAAATTGGTAGTTACAAAATATTCATGGAGATACAAAGTACAGCATAAGGAATATAGCCAATCATATTGTAATAAATATGTATGGTGTCAGATGGGTACTAGATTTATTGGGGTGATCACTTTATGAGTTATATAGATGTCTAATCACTATGTTATATATTGAAACTAATACTGTAGGCCAAGTATAACTGAAAAATTAAAAGTTATTTTTAAAAACATAAAAATAACGCTCAGAAATAAAGTGAAATAGTACAGAGAAGTAAACGTTGCAATTCTAATTTCCCAGGTCTTATTCCTCAGAGGTAACACACACACACACACACACACACACACACACACACACACACACACAGAGACAAGTATCTAAAAGGAATCATGCTCATACTAGATACATACTGTTAAAACTTGCCTTTTCAGTTAATTTACTTTAGACCTCGTTCTAAATTCCCCCAAATAAGGAATATTTAGGTTGCTTCCAGTTTTCTACCAACATGTTAGATGAAATAAACATCCTAATACATTTTTATGACTTGGTTGAGACCACTTATAGGATGATTTCTCAGAGTGGAATTGTTGGATGGAAGAGCATGTGACTTGAAAATTTTGATAGCTATTGCTCAACTGCTCCTCCAAATAGTTATATTAATGACATAAGAGAGAGCCCATCTCCTCCATCTTTATCTATATTATCTCCAAACTCTAAATCTTTAATGAAGGTGAAGACAGTTAATTATGTTTTAATATGCATTTTTTAAATTATGAGTGAGATTGAGTATCTTTTCATTGCTATTGGCCATTTGTATCTTGTGCGATATAAAATGCCTGTTGTGTCCTTTGCTCTTTTTCTAATTAAAAAAAATTCTGAAAATTTTAAAATATAGAACAGTACACAGGCTGTTATAATAGCTACACATGTACCTGTCACTTAAAATAAACAAGTGTTAATATTTTCTAATATATGCCTCAAATATTTTCCCTCTTTTTCTTCTTCAAACAAAAACAAAACCATAGATGAAGTTAAATTCTTCTAAGTACTCATTCGCGTCCCTTCCAAGGACCAATGTGAAAGGAATTTAGAGAGGTATGGAAAGATAGATATGGAAAAAAACAGAGTTAATGGAGGGTTTCTACATCTCTTAGATTAGTTTAAACCTTTAATGTTCACTTGAAACAACTGTACTAATGATGTTTTTACACTGTCTAAATTTAATCTGAAGTCTAATAGCAATGAGAAACTTTCAACTTTAAGAAGGAAGGTATAACAAAACTACAATGTGATACCATTTCATACTCACTGAGATGTCTATAATAAAAAAGACAGACAGTAACAAGTGTTGGCAAAGATGTGGATACTGGAACCATTGTACATTGTTGGTGGAAATGTGAAATGTAAAATGGTGCACCCACTTTTGAAAAACTATTTGGCAGTTCTCTCAAAAAGTTAAACATAGAGTTACCCAGTAATTCTACTCCTAGGTATATACCCAAGAGAACATGTCTATACAAAAACTTGTACATAAATATTCATGACAAAATTATTCATCATAGTCAGAAGGTAGAATAAACCCAAATGTCCATCAGTTGATGACAATATAAAGGAACAAAATACTAAAAAAACCATATGTGAAAAACCCTCAGCAAATAACATACTCAATGATGAAAGACTGAAAGCTTTTCTTCTAACATCATGAACAAGGCAAAAATGCCTGCTTTTACCACTTCTATTCAACATAGTACTAAAAGTTCTAGTGAGAGCAATTAGGTAAGAAAAACAAAAGGCAGCCAAAACAGAATGAAAGAAGCAAGATTGATTATCTGTTTGCAGATATCTCATAGGTAGAAAACCTTAAAGAGTCCACAAAACAAACAAACAAATAAATTCAGCAAAGTAGCAGGATATAAAGTCAACATGCAAAAATCGGCTGCATTTATATACAAATAATAAACAATCTGAAAAGGAAATGTCAAAAACAATTCCATTTACAATAACATCACAAAGAGAAAAATACTTAGGAATTAACTTAAGCAAGTAAAAGACTTGTACAATTAAAACTACAAAACACTGCTGAAAGAAAATTTTAAAAGATATAAATAAGTAGAAACACATCCCAGGAAAGACTTAATATTGTTAAAATGTCAATACTACCATAAGCTATCTATAGATTCAATGCAATCCCTACAAAAATCCCAATGACCTATTTTGCAGAAATAGAAGTCATCCTAAAATTTATGTGGAATCTCACAGGACCCCAAATAGCCAAAACAATTTTGGGAAAAAAACAAAAACAAAACCAAAAACACACACACACTGGAAGACTCATACTCCCTGATTTCAAAACTGACAATAAAGTAATCAAAACTTTGTGGTATGGCATAAAGATAGACACATAGACTAATGGAATAGGATAGCCAAGAAACAGACCCTCACATATTTGTTCAAATGATTTTTGCCAAGGGTGCCAAGACCATTCAATGGGGAAAAGACACTCTTTTCAACAAATGATGCTGAGAAAACTGGATATCTATGTGCAAAAATACAAAAGTTTGACCCTTACTTAACACCATATATAAAAATTAACTCGGAATGGATCAAAGACCTAAATTAAGACCTAAAACTATAAAATTCTTAGAAGAAAACATTGGACAAAATTTTAATAACACTGGATCTGGCAATGATTTTTTTGGTTTGACACCAAAGGCACAGGTAACAAAAAACAGACAAACTGGACTTCATGACAATTAAAACATTTTGTGCACCAAAAGACATTATCAAAAACTGCACATTAAGTATATTAGGATATATAAACATTTACTTATGTGTAAATATATAAATAGCTGTCAATGTCAGATTCATTATTTTAATTAATCCTCAGAACAAAATTTGAAGGTTGCATAAATATCTGCACTTGATACATAAGAGATTGAACCCCAGAGATGTTAATTAGCTTGCATCCAATGTAATACTGATAGCAACAGGGCAGAGACAGAACCTGAAGTCAATTGTCTCTGCTTCTAGAGCTCATGGTTTCTTACCACCATTCCACATGACAGTAAAAGACATGGATAAACCAAAGAAATATTTGTCTCATTGGCAAAAAGAAAGGACTAGGCTATTCAATTTTAGAATGAACACTGAGTCAAAATGCTGGTTTCCTCCAGTAGAATTTTACGCGTTATCAGTAATCAATTCAGAGCAACTACTGGACAGGTGGAGAAGCTGTGTATAGATTTAATTATAGTTTACTCAATGACCACCACAGTTGGACGGAGCAGGACCTATGAATCATATTTCCTTGCTCCCAAATTATCTCCCTCACCAATCTATTAAAAAAAAAAAAAAAGGGAAAAAGGAGCGGGGAGGGGAAAAAAGGACACTGTCCACAGTGAAAAGGTAGCCCATGAATGGAAGAAAATATTTGCAAATCATATATCCAATAAGGGATTAATATCCAGAATATAGAGAACTTCTAAAACTCAACAACAATAAAAAACAAACAACCCAATTAAAAAATAGACAAAGGACTTGAACAAACATTTCTCCAAAGAAGATATATGAATGAGCAATAAGCACATGAAAAGATGCTCCACATCACTAATCAGCTGGGATGTAAATAGAAAACTATAGCCATTGGGATGGCTAATAGAAAAAAAAAAAAAATCAAAACAAATATTAGTGAAGAATGTGGAAAAACTGAAACCCTTGTGCACTACTGGTGGGAATGTAAAATGGTACAGCTGCTGAAGAAAACAGTATGACGATTCCTCAAAAAATTAAATTACCATATGATCCAGTGATTCCACTTCTGGGTATAGAAGCAAACCAAGTGTCCATTAATGATCAATGGATAAGCAAAATGGGAAATAATATTCCACGTACAATGGAATATTATTCAGTCTTAAAAAGGAAATTCTAACACGTGCTTCAACATGGATGAACCTCGAGGACATTGTGCTAAGTGAAATAAGCCAGTTATAAAACGACAAATACTGTATATTCTACTTATATGAGATAATTTGAGTAGTCAAAATCACAAAGACAAAAAGTACAATGGTAGCTGCCAGGGGCTCAAGTGAGGGAAAGGATGGAGAGTTATTGTTTAATGGGTATAGAGTTTCAGTTTTACAAGATGAAGAGTTATGAGGATGAATGTAATGGTGATGGTTGCACAAGAATGTGAATGTATTTAACTGACCTGTACACTTAAAAATGGGTAAAATGGTAAATTTTACGTTATATGTATTTTACCATAATAAAAAAAATTATTTGTTAAAAAAGAGAAATGAAGTACTTATGCAATATTACAGCAGAGAGAAATTTTGAAAGTATTATGTTAAATGAAAGAAGGAAGTCACAAAAGGCCACATATTATACGATTCCATTTATATGAAATATACAGGTAAATCCATGGAGACAGAAAGATTAGTGGTTGCCAGGGGATGGGGCTAACAAATGACTGCCAATGGGTATGAGGTTTATTTTAGGGATAATGAAAATGTTCTGGAATTATACAGAAGTGTTGGTTGCACAACTCTGTGAATATAGTAAAAGCCAATGAACTGTATGCTTTAAATGGGTGAATTGTATCGTTTATATTGCAATAAAGCTGTGGAAAAATTATTTAAAAGGAAAAAAAAAGTTTGTGCAATCAACTCTGTAACTTAGAACAAGTTACCAGAATATTCTGAGACAGGAAGAAAATGACCACTCTAGCCATTACCTGCAAATGAGAGCTGCTTTAGGCGGGCATTTGATCGAGCTTCCTGGACTTTATCTGTCAATGACTTCCAGGCATCTGTTAGGAAATAAAATATTCAAGCAAACATCTCTTAACACCAATGGTGTGTGCACAAGCATTGTGCTTAGAATCTCTACAGTCTGAAAACATATCTTGCCAGAACAGTTTTTTGTTTTATTTTAAATCAGTTCAGTGCATAAGAAAGAAGCTAAGAAGGTGCACTTACTCAACAGTGTTTCTTTCTGTTTGAAAGGATGCAGAAGCAGTAAGGAGATTCACACCTTCTGAAAATGACCCCTAAAACCCCAAAGCATTCACATCCCTTGATGATAGTCTGATTCCTAAATCTGAATGCTTGAATTATATTCCCTGTATCCTTAATTAATACAATACTAGCATTAACAATTTAACCAGAACTATGGGGAGATCATACAACTAGAAAACTTTTACAATCCCTTCCAGCTCTAACTTAAGATTCGATGATCTCTTACTGTCTGTTCGATTTCTTACCACTACCTCACACTTACTATGTCTTATGTGGAACTCATACACTCAAACTAGTTATATCTTTGTTTTCCAAACATAACTTTTTTTTTTAAGTCACCCGGGCCTGAATCTTCAGAGTCATCTTTGACTCCTCTCTCTAATCTCCATACCAAGCAGTCATTAAGTGTGTCCATATTCCTTACCTTTCTTTTCCTACTGGAGATGGGCTTTGTTACCTGACATCGCTACTGTACCAATACTCTCATTAGTGACCTCTTGTCCTCCAACTCAATCTACCTTTTATAAAGCTATCACATTAATGTTCCCTAAATTCTGCTTTTATTCTATTCTCCCAAATTTTCGAAGGCCTAATGGTTTGGCAGTGAAGGCCATCCAAAACCTGTGCTCAATCCACCTTCCCAATTTTTTCTTTCACTACTACCTGACAAGGATTTCAACATCCTTTTCCCACCCGACACTACTCTAAACCCACCATACGCAATCCTGTCTTGCTAACTTTGCTTATATCCCTTCTTAAAAAGCCCTCCTTCTTCACTTTGCCTAAACCAAATTCCATTACCTCCTTTAAAGAATCTCCTATTCTACTAATCTTCACGTGTTTTTTTGATAACCCAAATTGATCCACAGTGATCTTTCTTTCCTTCAAACTTCTCTAGTACTTTATTGCCTACAGAATATTCACTTCAACAGTTAACAAACACCTATATGCTCGGGGAACAAAGATGAATAAGAAAATAAAATTCAAGCTCTTATGGGAAACTCCCTGTTGAGTGAATTAGACATAAAAGTTAACAGACTTTTACGAAACAAATTTTAAGCTATGAGAGAGAAACATTTAAGAAGCTAAAAGGAGCAGAAAGGAGGGAGTGGGACTGCTTATCTGCCAGAAGGTCAGAGAAGACTTTCTGAGCCCAATCTTGAAGGATGAGCTGGAGTTCATCAGGTGCATGAGGATAGAAAGAACATTCCAGGTAGAGGGAAGAATTGTATGAAGGCACAGAGGTGAGAATGGCATTTAAGGTACACAAGAAGTGGTAGAAGACAAGGCCAGAGAGATAAGCAGAGGTCTCATGTGCTCTGCTAGCATGTGTGTAATCTTAAAAACATAATCTGTATCATTAACTTTTCATATAAATTATGAACTATTTCTCAACAACACTAACTTCCAAAGGACAAGTTAAATGTATAATGCTTCCAAGTATCTTCTGTAATAGCTAGCACAAAACTGCCCATGTAAATAGTATAAATATACATGAAGTGTAGATTTAGCTGAAACAGGACTGGTGTTGGTAGGTCAACATAATTTAACCCACTTACCTTCAATACTTTCTGCACAAATCTGAAAGCCGTCGTCACTTGAAATTTCAAAAACAAGTCCTTTCTTGGGCTTTTTCTCAGCAATGCTTTCCTTTCGTTTCTGTTCTTGCTGAAGCCAAAGCATCAGTGGAGAGCTAAAATTACTTTCTTCTTCTTCCACTGTTTTAGGTTCTATGAGGAAGATAATAGGGGACAAAGTGGTTGCAAAAGCAAACACTTATTGAGCATTGACTTTACACATGTTATCTCCAGGCCTAACAAAATTCCATATTTGGTATTATTCCCATTTACAGACAATAAAACTGAGTCTCAAAGAGGTAGAGCAACTTGCTACCTAGGTCATAGCTAGAAATGACTAAAACTAGAATTTTTTTTTTTTAAATAAAGTCATGCTGTCTCTGTGGTAGTTTCTGGTATGACAATTTGATAGTTTTTCAAGTAATTGCCCTTAACAGGGTTAAAGTTAAAAAATAATAATGGTTAATGTGTATGAAGCACTATGTATAAGGCACTCTTAGAGGAATTCTCTATATGTTAATTTATATAAACTGCAAAACAGTCCACTTTAAAGGTTAGGAAACTGAGGTAGAGAGAGGTTAAGTAAATAGCCCAAGTTCATACAGCTAGTAAGTGGTAAAGCTGGGATTTCAACTCATCTGGTTCCAGAGTTTGCACTACCAGCCCTTACTGTATTCTCACACAAAGAAATGTATCAACCCTCTTGAAGAATCAACAAGTCAGCAGAATATGATTACATCCCAAATTTTATGCGCCTAAGCATTTTCTCTACTTGGTTCTTTTATGAGAAGTCACCTCAATAGAAATGGGCAAAGCCTTATGTACAGGGCTGTCTAATCTTGAAGTGACCTGTTGTTTACTCGTCAAATTCATTAAGACAGATGGAAAATGCTATAGAGATGTATGGGGTGTCATAACCAAAATCTGGCTACCTTATATAACAAAAATCGTTCTTGGTTTTCTTCAGTGACAACTAAGGGATGAAGTGGGATCATCACTAGCTATTTAAATCACACTTGCTGTTAAAGCAAATAAAGCAGAAGAGTACTTATAAAATTTAATCTTGTATCCTTTAGTTGACAGATAATCACAGAATAAGAGGCAGAAGAGCACTGGACCAAGAGATAGATGCTCTGAGTCTCAGTCTACAACTTTGGCCAATCACTTAACTTCTTTGGAATTCAGGTTTCTTTATTCCTTTTTTTTTTTTTTTTTAATCTAGAAAATCAGTAGGCAATGAAGGTGATTTTCATAGTATTTTTGGCTTTGAAATTCTGATTCTCACTGTTATCCACCCACATACCTGTACTTTCTTGTTCATTTGCTGGATTTTGTGTTGTCTGAATCTCAGGAAGAACAGCCACTTGCCTAAATGAAAAACATAAGACAAAAAAAATTGAGATGTAACATCAGCTAGTTTGTCAATTCAAAGAAAAAAACTGTCTGTAATCTGCCATAACTATGTCAGTTATACAAAGCAACTACTGGAAATGAACCACAAGGTGCTTTGTGCAGAACCTGTTGAATGAACATGTCACCGCAGTATTATATGGTACTTAACATAAAACCATCTTTTACGAAATTTCTTTCTTAAATATTGATGTTAAGTTTCTGCTTTTGGAGTTATAGAGTGTACCCTTAAATTTTTCTCCTCCTCTTAGTACTGGGAAAGAAAAGGAAAGAACACTGGTTAGAAGCAGTTCTGGAGTTACAAGCTGCTTACGTTAGCTGCTTCAACTAAAAACATAAGCAAACTACAACAGCTAGGAAACCATCACCAATTTCCACGTTCAAGAATTAAATAAATCTTGGAAATAATCCAAATGTAGATTAATAGGGGCTAGTTAAACAAATTATTGTAGGGCCACACAATAGAACCAGAGGCAGCCATTAAAAAAATAAAGTGCATCTATACTGGCACAGAGATGTAGACATAATACAACATAATAAAACCAAGTATAGAACAGTATGTACAGCATGATTCATTTTATGTAAAAAAGGTATTTACATATTCATACATATACCATGTATATCTGTATATATACAGATGTCTGCATGGACGAAAACAAATTATTAGCAATGGTTGCCTCTAAGGAATAAACTAGGAGGGGGTTAGGCAAGATGAACAGGGAACCATTATCCATCATTTAAATAATTCCCTGCTGCTTTTTTTTAAAAACAAGCATATATTATTTCCATTTTTAAAAAAAACTGTGGCAGCAAAAATCAATACAAATCAGGAAAAACTATTTTTGAAATGAGGCGGACAGAATTGAGAACTTAACCTTAGAGAACTAATTTTTATGCTTACCCTACAGGCTGCCCACACTCCTTCTGTGATAACTGTTCCACATTAGCTGTATCCTGCTGCTCAGCCTCTGCTCCTGGAGTCCTGAAACAGAATCATTTGTATCTTTTCAAGAAAAACCACTAGTAAATATGTACCAAGTGTAGGTCAGTCTAAAGAAATGACTCTCTCAGGATCTAATAAAAGTTATGAGCAAGGAAAACCAACCTGTGGTGATACAGGTTAGATAGTGGTTACCTTGAGGAGGTACTAAGACAAGGCACAAGGAGCCTTATGGAGCACTAGACATGTTTTGCATCTTGATCTGAATGGTGGCTACATGGGTGTATACATATGTCAAAATTTACTTGTATACATTATATATGTTATATTCAAATGATAATATTTTTAAAAGGACTCTATGAATATCTACAACAGCTGGCTTTGCCCTCCACAGAGGAATAGTCATCCCTTAGTATCCTAAGTCTCATCAAAAAAGAAACAGGAGGAAACAGCACCATTTGAAATCAGAGCAGAGAAATTAGAGATGTGGTTCTATCCAAGACAAACTGCCCATGGATGGAACTGCATTTTGCTCTATAAATCAACACTGTGAGAGAAAAAAATCAAAGTCAAAACCCAGAAAACCCTCGAGTACTGCAACCTGAACAGAGGAGTGTCCCTCCCAGAAGACTATCACTTCAAGCCTCTGATCCAAAGCACAAATCCCACAGACCCAGCACAGCCAATACGTGGATTTCTCACCCTGTGACTGAGGTCAGGGATGTCGTGTTGGCTTCTTGGTCTGGAATGTGTGCTTCAGAACTGGTCCGCAAATGGGAAACTTTGTGCTTCTTGCCATTTCCTTTGTCCAAAGGCAGTTGAATCCGCTTGATTTTTGGTTTGGGTTTAGTGGGACCTGGCACTGAGGAGCTTGCTGACTGCTGTCCAGATGGAGAGCCCCCCGGAGAGGCTGAACTGACTGGCACAGCTGAGGATAAAGCCTTATTCTGCTCTAGCCCCACGCTATTAGGAGCATCTACTGTCTGGGAAAAGGTGGATCCCTGGGTCCCCGGAGCAGAATCAAGATCACGCTGGGAAGAAAGCATCCCAGTTTTGCTGGCAAGGAGCTGGTTCACATGCTGAAGCTGATAGTGTTCTTCTGCTTCCTCAGAAGGTGAAGCTGCTGCTATGCCCATAGTCTGAGTAGAGGGTAGGACACAGATACTAGATGCTGCTGTCATTGAAGCAGTAGGCGTCTGTGATGTCCCCAGTTGTGAAAACACTCCTGAACTTGGCGGTAAAGTCACAGGCTGGTCCTGAATCCCCAGGCTCTGCTGGCTAGCTTTGATTAAAAGGTTGCTTATTGAGCCAATATCTGGGGTACCCAACAACCTCGGGTTGGTTAATGTGACATGTCCTGGAACTGATGCGTTACTTGTAGTGGCTGTTGTGGTTTGCATGGATACAACATTCAAGACGGAGGAACTGGATGCCAAGCCAGACACAGGCCCCGATGTGAGGTGGCCAGTATCCTGGCTTATGGTTGATGTGCCCGCTGCTGTGGCAGCAGGTCCTCCCACACTCTGTGGTAACAGGGGTGCCTGTTCAAAATACATGATGCCAGATTTAGACCTTTTAATGATGTTGGGGACAGTTCGGTGAGATGAAGTGTTAAGTGACCCCAAATCTAACAGGTTGGGATGATTTGCAAGCTGTGAGGGTGTGAAGTTAATCAATGTCATATTAGAAACCACATCGGAAGGGGCAATGTTTGAAGGGGTACTAGAGGGAGCAAGTTTTTTATTCTTTCGGGTCTGTAGACGAGATATAGGTCTTTTCTTGAGTCCAGAGGATGGAGTGGCTACTGTGGTACTGATGTCTGTCCTCTGGCTGGCTTCTGAAACCAAAAGTTGGGGATCTGGAGGAGGCTGAACTCCAATAAGTAGGCCTGAAGGAGGACTGCTGATGTTAGGTGGGAAGCTACTTTGAGTAGCTGCAGGGAAGGAATGTAAGTGCTGGTGATGAGGCATGGGGAGCAACCCTTTGCTGGCAGGAGGGAACAAGGATTGAGAAGTTGGCAAGCCTGGATTTAGTCCTGTGGTTAGGGTGAGACCACTGCCCATGGGCCCCAATACTGAAGTATTTGTCTCCATCACATTGGGTGTAGAACTAACCGAAGAGGTCAACTGGATTTTTTGGGTCACTCCATTTGGAAGAGTTTGGAGAACATAAAGTGGCTGCATGTTCTGGTTAACAACAATGAGTTTCTCAGTGGCTGGTTTCAGGTGAGGTGGAGTGGTCTGGACAGCTGCATTAGAAATCTGTGATGGGCCAGGACTATCAGTAGAATTGGGCACATATTTCTGGTTCTGGATAGGAACAGTAGGGGAAACAGGTACCTGAAGGCCAGGGGTGCTACTGTTTCTAGTTAAATCCTGATTGTTGCCATGACCTTGCTCCACTGACCCACAAGGAGGGCTAGAGATGTGGTCTGCGTCCATGTGTCCTTGGATAAAATGATCAGGAGTCATGTGGCCTTCCGGCGTTGGATCTACTCCTGGATTCAGCAGTGCTGAGTCACCTTCAGAGGATGCCACAGATTTTTCCGTGATGGTTACTCTCTTCTCTGCTGAATCTGAGATTACAGCAAGTCTACTGGGATTCTGGCTAGGGACAGTGGGACTCCGGGTGGTCAGGACAGAGAGATCAGATGGTAGCTCTAGAGGCAACTCAAACTGCTCCTCTGCTGAGATAGAGGAAGAGACACTACTGTCCACAGGTTCCGTTGTCGGCAGCTGCTGAGAAAACACTTCAAAAAGACCCATGTCTTTTTCACGATTACTATCAAGACCCAAGCCTTCGCCAAGATTCAGGAGTTCTGATGAAGAAGATTCTGGGCTCTCACCCAAAGGCTGCATGGATGGAGTATTCTTTAGTACAAAGTCCATAATGTCTGAAGGCAGGATATTCCCACAGTCATCACTATTGTTATTATCTGAGTCAGATTTTAGGAGCTCAGTATTATAGGTGTCCAGTAAATTTTTGTCTGAGGGGGTGCTGGTGTGGACTCTGCGACTTGACTCCAATGAACTGAGCTGAGCTTCTAAGGAATCCTGTCCCTGTGTTTTAATTCTGCTTACAGAGTGGCAATTATCCATCTTTGGCTCAGTTTTGTGGCCAACAGAACTCTTAATGACATGTTCTTTTTCACCAGTATCTTCAGGTCGATCAATCTTTACATTCTCTGTTCCATTTTCTTTACCATTTCTTTTTGGAATCTGGCCACTTTTCCTTGTTGTAGCTGTGACACTAGTATCACTCTCCGTCCCATCATCAACACCATCCAACTGTGAAATTTTTGGAAGATCACACTGTTCTTCCTCCCGAAACAAATTATGGGATGCCAGACGTTCCTCTGCACCTGAAGAAATCACTGTTCTAGTGAAATTGTAGTAATATAAGTCATCTTCATCTGAAGTGCTTAAGTCATCAGCCCCATCCACCTGTCCTTCAGCTGATCTCTTGCCTCGTTTCTTCCCAGTTGAGCTGCTATAGAATGGAATGTCTTCTTCACCATAGGATCTCACCCCATAGAGTGGGGTGAGCCCAAAGAACATGTTAGAACGTGCCCGGGCACTGCGACGAGGGTATCTCCTCTTGAAAGAGCCATCCTCCTGAGGTTTGGGGCCATCTGGAAGCATTAGATTTCTGTCCTGTACTGGAAGATTCTGATAGTTGTTACTCTGAGAATCCTGGGATGAGGTATTATTGGGGCTTGGTTGGGTCACTGGACCATCTCCTGGACTTTCAGAGGCTGAAATCGGTTCTGCTGGGGATGCTGACTCTATTTGCAAAGGAGAAACAGGACTACTCTCCTTCAGGGTATTCTTGGACTGACTCTCACTTTCCATTTTTAGAGGTGTCAGTGTTACTTTGACTGTGCGTTTCCTGGGTGTCTGTAATTCCTTAGTAGAGCCTTCTACTTGCATGGACAGAGCTTTGGGGACTCCTGGAATAGAAAGAACTTTGTCCCCAATCTTATCAGAAGAAACATTATTACATGGTCGTTGCCCCATAAACTCAGGAGTCAAAACTTCGTTAACGAACTCTGGCTTTAGGTTTCCTTCCTCACCAGTTGTCACCTGACCAGGTTCCAAAAAAGATTTACTGGAATGCTTTTCTTTGTAAGTTTCTTTACAAGATTTTTTCCCTTTCTGTCTCCTGTCTCTAGAACTAGATCCCACATGTTCATTGATAATAGATGATCTGTTGCTCACCCCAGGTAGCTTCAAGGTTTTGACTTCAGTATCTTCATTGGGAAGGGGGTTCACTGGTTGGTTAGAATCTGTATGTTGGTCTCGATCAATCCTTTGCCCTCTCAAATGGAGTGGTGGGAAGCAGAGAGCCTCTTTAGAAGAAAACGGTACTGAAGAGAGTTCAGCAAAAGTGCTGATTTTACTAACATTTAATTCACCAGATGTTGTATTATGAACCTGTGGGACCAGTTTAGAAATGCCAGGGTAAGACACATTATGTGCAGATCCTTCTGAACTCTTGGAACTTGGCATTTTGGTCTTCTCTCCTTTTAGAGAGGAGCTTTTGGATGCCAAGTCTGAAGCACTGGAATATTTCACTTCTGAAGATGAAGATCCATCCAAGTGACTGGTCTTAGTGACCATTGTAACCACTGTCCTTTGCAAATTTGAAGAGGTGGGAGTGTTTTGCCCTAAATTAGTATTTGAATTCAGTGGCCCTAAGACATGATCGACTGCTTTGGCACTTGACTCAAGATCTGCAGTGGTCCCTATGGTGGAGACTGAGGAAACACTATTCCTGGAGTAAGTACTCCCAGTTCTCATTGGAGACATTATCCGGAGTTTAGACCGCTGGGGTGACAAAGAAGAAGTACTGTGACGTCTGGAGCCAATGCTTCGAAGTCCAGAGGAGAGTAAAGGATCACCCACAGTGACTATTTCATGGGTAGTTGGAGTAGGACTTCCTAAATAAGAGAGAAAAAGTAATACAGTGTATTATAGATAGAACAAATGTGTGATAGTCATTGGTTTCAATGACCTGGCTATATATATTTACAGGTAACTGAAAATCAACATTTTTAATCAGCAAAAGCCACTAAGATAAAGTTGCCTAAAAGAAGAACAAACTCATCTTTGAGCTGACTTTGTTGGAGTCAATGAAGTCTTTTACCTGCAGAGGGCAATGGCCGACAGCCAGGGGATCTCTGTATTGGAGAATAACTGGGTGTTCGAATCCTAGGGACCTTTGAGATGACATGATAAAAACAGGAACCAGATGTTTGCGTATGAGGAGGTCGGTCTGGTGATGGAGGACTTACAATTTCAGCTGTGTTTTGACTTTCTTTAGATGAAATTTCTGTGGTACGATATAAAAACCTTCATTAAGAAAAGTCTAATATCAAACAATAGAAAGCCAGCTACGAGGTAAATATCAAAAGGGGAACAAATGAGATCTCCCAAAGAAATGACTTTTTCCTATGCTTCAATCCCAATACTCCCCAAAATCTAATTCAAGTTCCATCTTGATTAAAGACTAACCTGCAAAAGATGTTGGACTATGAGCGATGGTCCTATTTTCATCATGTTCAACAGTGCTGTTGATATCTGGCTCTACAACTGGAGGTCGGCATTCTACTATCTTGCATGTATACACACAGCGCTTGCGAGCATCTGTGGTGCTCCAGTATACCCTGGAACACCTAGCAAACAGATTTGTAAAAATGACCACAAATTAGAGAACAGAAGCAAAGACTAATGTGTCAAAACCTCTTCTCATCCTAGGTTCCAGTCTCCCTCATTTATAGAATTTAGCTTTACTTCATGAATTCTTATTATAGATTTCCCTAGTTGAGGTGTTCCAAGCTTTTTGAAGTCCTCGGGGTTTTTTTAGCCTCTCAGAAAATATCAGATCTTTTTTTATTGTATCATAGCCTAAAATGCAGAGAAAGAAAAATACTAACTACTACAAGAAACAGTTATTGGCCTTCAGGAAGAGACTACTGCCCCGCAATGTGTACAAAGCAAGGAACGAGCAAACCCGAGGTGTTTCCTTTGGAAGAAAAGCCCCATGAGACAAGAGAAATGTAAGTGCTTCAAATTTTCTGGATGCTGATGGAGCCTACTTTATACAAAGAGCTTCCAGCTAAATGTGGAGTATAGACTGTGTCATCAGAATTAGAATGCAGGAATAAGTTGAAGTACATACATATAACGAAATAAGACTCTAAAAGGGAGAGATAAAAAAAGAATCTTAAATTTATATTGTCAGCTTGCTAAAAGTTTAAGCAATTTACTTCATATAGGAAAGATAAAAAATTCTTACTGGGGAATCTGATTATTATTGAGGAGAAATGCCTTTTTAGAAGGACCTATAAAAATGTAAAATTGAGGACAGAGGCGTGAGGTATATGATCTATGACAACAATCTGGATTGAATCTAGATGAATGGAATTTGGTGGAATCTCAAGAGACTGACCTTGTATTCCTATTTAGGTTTTATTTACAATTGGTTCTGAAAAATTTTTTAATTTAAGTATAGTTGGTATACAATATCATATTCATTATATTAGCTTCAGGTATACGATACAGTGATTCAACATTTTTATACCTTACAATGTGATCACCTCACTAATTCTGGTAATCATCTGTCACTATGTAAACTTATCACAATATTATTTAACACTTTCCTTCCATCACTGGATTTAGCCAACATAAAATGATACTTTAGTCCTAATCCAAAAGAAGTAGTAAAAAAAGTAGTTAATTTTTAATAGCAATTAAAAGTAGCTAACAAGTATGGCTCATTGCTTCAGAGTGCCCAAATTGTGGGAGCTGTTGTCCTCTTACTGCACTACTTACTGATATCCAATAGGAAAGAGCTTATCTTCACAATCAGAGAGATCATTCAGAATTCCTAAGCAGTCAATTGTCATGGAGCCTAGCCAAGGAAAAAAGAACTTATTAAAGAAGATAATGAGATATTTATGTGTATATACACAAATACATATGTGTATATAGATATATAGATAGACATATATAAAATAATTTTATAACTGAAGTCTAGAAAGTACCCCAGTGCTACAGCCAGACTTCCCCTACAACCAAGGCCCATGTCATACCAATCATCATGTGGATATTTTCTGGTTCCAAGCCATTAAGAAACTTCCTTCTCAAGCTTATTCCTTCGAAGTCCACAAACACTCTTCTAAATACTTCAAATCCATTCTCAGGAACCACCTTAAATGGAAACCCAGGGTAGCTGTTAATAGGGTGCCCCTTTATAAATTATGCTCATAATACTGACTCTCTCAGAGGGAAAGTATAGAGCATATCTTAAAATCACCCTTCTGCTTCACTAGCAGGACTTCTGTATTTCTCCTAAAAGGAGGAGATTCTAGGACCACCTAGTAGGAAGATAAAACAAAGTTTATCATCTTGCTTGCTATATTCAGCCTATGTTCCTTGAGTTTCTAGAGAATTCAAAAAGCAATTAACACTCTCTCACCTCGCCTTTGATCAAATCCCGATGTCGTTGGCAATATACTTTTTTATCATCCAGAAAAACACAGTTCTTGGCTCGGGAACACATGAAGTGATAGTTGCTGGTGCAGGATGTGAGACAGCAACCCACAGTGGCTCCTGGCTTTTGGCAGAATTCACATCTCTAACAATCCAGAAAGAACAGAGTCCTATTCAGACTTTCAGATGTTTTAGCCATTTTTCACCTCCTCTACAGAATACCCCATTCTGGGTTTCCTACATTTCATTTTGTTTATTGATAATCTGCTGATTACAGAGAAGCGATGTGAGCCATAAAGCCTGCTCTACCATTCCTCTCTTTCCCACTGTCCATGGGGCCCTGTAACTACTAAATTTAAATATTATAATTTGATTTAGAATCTGGACTAAAACATAGTTTTTCTTCTAAAATACAAGATTGATTTAGAGAAGATGAAACTCAAGATTATGTTAAAACACCATCCTGCTAGAAAGCTATCATATCTGAAAGAACTCAGTTCTAAAAATATTATACTAGTCAGAAGCCTAACAGTTCTCTAGTTAATAGGCTTAACAGGCAAACATCATTACAATTCAAAGATTTCCTTAGCTCATGTCACCACTTTATTCTGTCACAGTCACAATCTGGGCTCCTCTCCAGGGAAGACTTCTTTTTTTCCTTTGCACCCATCCTCCAAGGGTAAGAATAATAATTTGCCTATAGTGTACACCAATACTTGTTACTGACTAACCACTCTGAAAGCACTCTGAAGGCACTATGAAAAATATCAGTGAGGCAGCAGGTGGCCACAGAAAGAACATCTGGAGACTGAGAGGGAATCTCTTCTGCACATTTACCCACCACAAGTTCTTACCAGCTGCTTGCCCCTGATCACAGCCATATGCACATTCTTTAGTGATCCATCATCATCTTCAAACACTTCTGCTGACCACAAAGCACAATTGACATGTGTCCACTCATTTTGGCCAATGTATAGCAAACGGCCAGCATCCTATGAAATAAAGGCATTTTTTTATTTAAAAAAATATAATGTCAAAGATTTTCCTTGGTATTTGCTTTATATCAGTCAAGACAACTTCAATAAGTCAATTAAAATTCTTTAACTTAGGAATATATGCAAAAATTATGATCCTTTTTAAATGTTTCTATTTCCATTTTCCTCCTTTCTGAGTACCTTTTCCATGAACTGGAATTATTTTATAAACACAGAGAATTAAAAAATAAGCAATGTTGTAAATTTATAAAAGTGCACTGACTTCTTTAAAACTGTATTTCAGAGTCAGTTCTCTCAGCTTGTACTAAAAAAACTTTTTTTATTATAAGCTTACTATATGCCAAGCACTAAGGCTTTACATAAATTATTTCCTTTAATCCTCATAACCATTCTGAGGTTTTTTTTATCCTCGTTTTAAAAATGAAACTGAGGGTCAGAGAAGCTCCTTACCAAGGTCAATAACTAAGCAATAAGGCACAGCAATGGATGCAGGCAGCCTGCCAGAACTAAAGATCTTAACCATTCTGCTATATTACACTAAACACAAGCTATTTAATACACAACTTCTATTTTATTGACTTTCATAAAATCTTTTAGAGGAACTTCCCATAGAAATTACTAGACATCAGCAGGTTAATTTAAGGCAGATCATCTTTTAAAGCAACTAAATCAGTTACTGAAGAAACCTCCAAGTTCCACAATCTAAGTGACATTCATTAAGCAAATGGCACTCAGTCATAAAATTTAGACACAAAGAACAAACAGTTCATTACAGACATCTAATAAGTAGGACCCTGTATGCCAAAGTACTTACATTAGCACTGTCATCACCATATGCCAAACATAATGCACACTGTCTATTATCTTCTATGCCTGGGGGTGGGTTCAGTTCTGGACTATCTTCTCGACTTCTATCAGTACCTTGGAGACCCAAAAGACATTCAGTTAAAACTGGCAATACTATGTCTGATTTCGAAGAAAAAAGAAAACAATTCAGCTTAAATTGCCTATAAACACTTCATAAAAGTGTCCAAAGTTATGCTATCTCAATGTCTATTACATTAGAGTATTTATACCAATTCCTTATTAACATTCCAAGTGAAGCAAAAATATGATTTTATTATATTTAAGAATGACCTGAGAATTTCTAATATGGAAGTATATTAAATTTAGATTCACGGTCAATCATTTGCAACTAGAGAGAAATGGATAAAGACTCTTCATTTGGTGCCTTACTCAAAATTGGTGGTGTAGGAGGATGTAGAGGAGTTGGTGAGTCTGGCTCTCCAGGCCCTTTAGGTTTGGGAGCTGGAATAATTTTCTTCATTAAAGGAGGCTGCTCAGTGTGGCTGTTTTCCTCTCGCTCCTGCCACTGAGCATAATTATGGTCAAGTGAAGGTGGAAGCACTGCGTTTGGTAACATCCCACTGCTGAAAATAATTGATTCAACAAATATTTATTGAACTCCTACAATATACCCAGAACTGTATAAAATAATCAAATTCTTGATATCATCAGGTCTCAGCCCCATCTACAAGCCATTCACAGAATTTAAGAGCGAGTCACAAAATTTGGAAACTGTCTAAATGTTCTATTATTTTTAAAAATACATTCTTAATGTATGACTCTTGGTTAAACTCCCAGAAATAAATAATAACCTTATCAAAGAATCAAAATTTACTGGAAGAAAAATTCAAGGCTAAATATGAAGAATCAAGAGAGGTAGACGGCATCAAACGTGATTAAAATAGAACACAATTATAACAAGCCCAATTATGAGGTTATAAATAGAACACGTGTACATACACCACAAATTAAACCAGGTTCTTTAAAATGTAACAAATGCAGAAAAAAAAGGGCAATACACTATAATAAACATTAAGTGTTATCTCTAAGCCAGTACTTAAAAGGCATTTTAACCTTTTAATCTTTTAATATTAAAACCTAGTCTATAAAAACCTCAATCTAGAAATATAAGAACTCTCAGATTTCTAGCTGATGAGGAGAATAAAAGTAATACAGAATTCACTTACTTGCTTGATACTTTATTTGGCTCCCAAAACCTGGACTTTTTGACACTGAACCATGGAAAAACACGCTCCATTTGCTAAGAGAAAAACAAACAAACAAAATGTAAGCATGTGGACATTCACTTGGAAACCACAACTTCACACCAGCTTCTCTGTCAATGTGAAGACAATGTCAGGCCACCAAGGGAAAGACCCATCCACTCTGGCGACCTCACCAACTTCCTCTCAAAGAATCAGGAGAATGAATTAAACCAAAAGATGTTTTATACACATAACAAAGCAAAATGTAGAAGACAAAAATCCATTCTGCTCACGGGGTAATTACCCATAGATAAGCATTAAAAACACGAACTATTCATATCATTCACCCGAATAAAGAAGGACTTGACCATGCTGTTGGCTTTCTTAATCTCTGGCTGTCCTCCATCAGAATTAATGGCTGCTTGAATGATCTTCACGATATCATCACTGAACTCCAACTGTATACAAAAAAACAAGCATTAATTATTCATAAAACAATGTGCTCTCAAAATCGCTTCCTCCTTCCCTCCTAAGTCATCTGGCACAGACAGCCACTAGAAAACTGACGTCTCATCTTAATAGTGTAATTTCTCTTTAGAGGAGAAGTCTGAGATTCAGCTCCCAATTAACTTGTGGTAGTCAACAGATGCAGGGCTAATAAGGCAAGAATACAAATAAAATAGCCGTATCATGGTAAGTTACCCAAAAGAACCACAATTTTTCATTTAGACTAAAATGAATAAACAAGTGAATAGCAAATACGGACCTTGAGTTAACAGATGATCATTTCTTTATACTTTTAAAACCATAAAATTAAAAGGCATCTATCTACAAATGAATATCCAAATGTTATCTCAAAAGGGACAAATTAACTTCACATTTTACCATTTATCATTTTTCCATATAATATTTTTAATATAAGTTAATTTAATATAAAATAATTTTCAGAGAACTCAGATGAAAGCCAAATAAAAAGAACCAATTTCAGATACTACCTTCCCTATCATAACCTATCTTCTGAAACACAGAGCTTAACTCAGGTATTTTTAGGTATCTGAAGCTACATGACATTTCTAAATATAACACAACTCATCTTTTAATGCTTACACCCAGATTCATCCTCCAAAAGACCCAAGGAAGCTAAACTGGCACTTGAAATTTTGGTAGTTTGCTGTAGAAACATACCACAGATATGTAGTTTCCTTGGTCCATTTTCCTCTTGACTCCCTCCAGATCTAAAGGCTGCTGGTCTTCCTGCTTGCTGACTTCAGTAAGCACCGGTGGGTCAGGTCCTTCTGGGGAGCTGCGGGAAGGTATACTCTCCTCTGTCTCAGGATTTAAGTCTGGAGGCTTGGCCGCCTGTTGCCAGGAAAAATGTGTTTGTTTTATCTAACACTGAAAATGAGGCATCTATGCAAATTCCGTTAAAATTAATAAAGATGGTACTGAATGATTCATAGTACAACACATAAAGAACATGAAAATAATAAAAGATTTCTCCAACAATAGGAAAGTTAAAAGGAGCCAGTTATCTAACAGCCTGGCTAAGCTAACTTAAGAGCTTCGTTTAATAACTTCCAAACCTAATATGAAGAAATAGAAACTATCCAGTTCTTTCTGAGTAAGACATAGATGGCAGCTAATTTTCCTATGCCAAAAAAAAAAAAAAGGAGCTTTATTAAAAGACAAAGCAGAAGTCTAGTTCTGAGATAAAGCTATCCATGTGGTTCTTCTAACATGATACCTTGTGTTCCCAGTGACTACATACAAACGTATAGTTCACAACTTGTACAGATAAAAAGTAGTGGTTTTCAAATTATGCCCTGAAGAGCCCTAGGAATTTCCCACAGCCGAAGGGTCTCTAGCTCCACTATCATCTTAGACTAGGCCTCCATTTTCTCTATTACCTAGATGACTATAACTGTCTCCTCACCACTGCTCCTGCCTCTAGGCTCAGCGCTCTCCATACTTACCCCTCTCTCTAATCAGAATCACTTTTTTTCTAAAAAAACATTCTAATCGGGTTACTCTTTTGGATGAAGTCCTTCATTGGCCCCATTGCCTTCAGAGTTAAAAGTCCAAAGATCTTATAACAGCAAGGCCTTTGAAGACATGATGCCTTCCTATTTCTTACCCCAAAGAAGGTCCTACCCTTGGCTCTAAAAATGCTCTTAATGGTTTAAGGACAAAACAAGCAACTCTACAAAACTACATGAAGAATGAAGCAAAAAAATTTTTTAAAGCAAAAATTTTTAAAGCAAAAAAAAAAAGAAAAGGAATACTAAACAAAAAACATTCCACTACTAGGTAAAAATCACCTAAGAACAAACTCTCAGAAAACAAAATGAGACTTGGGCCTACCTGTCGGTAGCGTAGCAAGTGGCTGGTGGTACGAGAGTTCAACAAGGCTGTTAGAACTTGCTTCAGAGATATCTGTAGCTCTTTTTCAAGGGCCAGTCGCCACTCTGCAGGGTGCCGCTCAGTACAGTTCACACACGTGTAGGCCACACTTTCTGGTAGATTAGATAGAATCTCATACATCTCATCTAGGAAAACAAAACCTACAATGAAGAGGTGCTTTGAAGAGTGGGAGAAAGGAAAAAGAGGAAACTATTCCACTAAACTTAATATAAAGCTATATGTTAGGAACAGTATTAAGACCCTAATATCCCCTAAAAACTCACACATATTGATCTCCAAAAGGACATTATTAATACTAATCCAGGATTTGGTTACTGGGGAATTAGTAGGTTATGGTACCAGCAAAGGACAGCAAGTAAATATATCCGAGGGATATGTTCAAGATAAATGAGCATGAACTTGACATAATGCTGTTTATTCTAAAAACCAAAAAGAAACATTTTTTTTAAGACTTCAAATAACAAAACTACCAGAATTTTACATTTGTTGTACTTTGGGAGCTGTTAATGCAGCTGTATCAAGAAAGAAGGAAACTGTAATAAAAAGGCTCCAACCTTCTGTACCTGAAAGATTCTCACATTTGGAATGAACCCAGCGATCACATTTCCCACATTGCATCATCTTACTCTCATAGTCATCATCATCGTAACACTTATCACAGAGAGGACAGAAGTTTCCTGAAAGCAAAACAAAGTTTTCAACAGTGCTCTGGTTCACACACCAGTGACTCTAAAGCTCTTGACTTACATATGCCAACCTGATCTAAAATGAAAGCCACTATTTCTTCTTCTGGAACTACTTACACATGCCAGCATGGATCTACTTTGGGATGTTTACATATTACTATAAAGTGTCAAGATTATTCTGATCTCTTACAATATGCCACTAGTTCTCTTCTTTAGACCCATTTTTAAAGGTCATGAGGTAGATTTAGATAATAGACGAATGGAAGAGAGACCTTTATCTCTTAAACATATCAAAGAAATGTTTAAATTTTTAAAAAGAGGTGAGGATATGGGAGAAAAATACAGTTAATTTACACTTTCCCTTATTCCTAGTGCTTTTACAGTAGGGCTTAGAGCAGCATTTCCTAAAATTCTGCACAATGTACAACCTTCAACAATTTGCTTTATCCATGTATCCCCTCTTATTTTTTACTTAATAGACTTAAAATCAATTTGCTTATTTTAAATAACTTCAATATTTTAAATTATCCTGAGTAAAAGAATGAGTATAATATGTTATAATTCTTTTCTAGCATAACTATTAAAATACAATGTTTGACTCAGTACCACCTTAAATCATTTCTGAAACAATCAAATATCTATATACCTTATACCTCAAGAAATATCAGCTCAGAGCATTTCTTTGTGGTTAGTTATTATAAAACGTCCCCCCCTAATTATTCCCATATAAACTAATAGAACATTTCTAATTGCTATAATTCTCTGTGTAAAGAAAAGAGCAAGCCCAAGAATTTCGTAAATGTGTCTAAATGGTATACTGGACTAGGAAGTGTTCCCCCTCCAAAACACCAAGTACAACATCTAGAAGTTGACAAAACTGCTTTTTTTTTGAGCTACCTTTAGCAAAGAGTTTGGCACAATCATGGCACAGCGAGAAATCGTGAGACCACTGTGCATCCCACCCTTTGCCTGGAGTTGTGGATCCACAGCTCTTACAACGAACACACTTGGTACAGATCTGGAAGAGAAAAGAAATTGAATAGCATTTCTTATATTTAGTATCTCTTCTTATTTAAAAAAGTCACAAATGTCTATAACTGACTTTTCTACTGAGATTGCTTTTTCTAATGAGGCAAAAAAAATTGTTACATGGGTATCCTCAAGCAAAAATATTCTTATTATAAGCTGTGCAAGTCCACAGTCCCACAACAATGCTCTCTGAAACAATATAACATGTGTACTCACCCAAACTTTCTTTTTCTTTGTGGGTTTAGTGGGGTAGTTAGGTCCCAGGCACTCAGGGTGATAACTGTTTCGGCACTTATTACATTCCAGCAGCTGCTATAAAAAAATATAAAGGCAAAAGGGTGAGCATCACATCACCTTCCCTAAACACCTATTACTACTTCATACCCCATTTCATACTTATCTTCAAGTAAGTATAACACATGATTATAACAGTTTAAATTTCTTCATAAATTATCTTCTCTCAATTAAAGCACAGGGATTTATTTCCTACCTAAGGCATTCAATGATGAATATTCTTACAAGGTAGATCTGATTTATTTGAGATTTTATCCAATGCCAAGTTTTCTGCTATATTCTCAAAATTAAAACACAAAAATAAGCAACTGATTACACCCAATTAAATAGTCAAAACAGACCAGGCAAAGAGAAAAATATAAATACAAAATCCTAAATCCAAAGGCAGAAATGGAGATAGGGAGTAATACTCTAAGTAGCTGTATTGCTTAGTTTTGTACCTTTGTAGCCTGATGCTGCCTTCCACAGACATGACAGAACTTGCAGCGACGACAACACCAATTTTCCAGCTGGTCCTCCAGAGGGCGCTCGTTCTCTTCTAAACAAAATTTGTGGAAGGGCTCACAACAGACTTGGCAATACACAAACTACAGAAAGATGGAAACAAAAGTTGTAAAATAACATGTAGACATATCAAGCAAATCCTACTTTTATACTTTGGTCTTTAGGAGTATGGTGCTATCTATATTTTATTCAACATATATTCATTAAGTAATGTCTCTATTTTTTTTAAAAGCACAATATTGGGCACTGCAGGAGATTCAGGGGACTAAAGTGGGAATGGTATTAGAATTATAAAGAAACAAAATAAATATAATCCAAGATTTCATAGAATGTGCTGAGTGCCATAAAATAAACAAAAAGCTGTGGGAATGTAAGAGTCAGGTAGGGGGTAATAAAGAGGATTTTAAAGGTTTTCTACAATATTCTAAACAATTGTAAGCTCTGGTTTATCCTTTCCATGTCTAATTTTAGAAATGTTATTTTCATATTAATATAGGGATTTTCAAAAATTCGAATGAGGATGACCTAGAATTTTCTTTTGCCATAAAAGCATTCTCGGGACTAGTCAAACTTAAATAAGGTCCACAGATTAGACATTAGTAATATACCAATGTATTTCCTGATTTTGGTAATTATACTGTGGTTATACAGGATAATGTCCTTGGTTTTATGAAATATACAGTGAAATATTCAGAAGTTAAAGGGCGTTGTCTGCAACTTGCTCTCAAACTTTTAGGAAAAAAATGTGTTGACATAAAAAAAATGCACATATACTTTATTTCTTATTTTGTAAAATACAAATGCACAAAGAGAAAAGGATAAAGCAAATAAAAACTATTAACATTTGGGGACTCTGGGTGAAAGGGATATGGGAATTCTTTCTACTACTCTTATAAGTTTTCTGGAAATCTGAAATCACATCAACATGAAAAAAGAATTTTAATTCAGGTGGAGGGAGAATTCAACAGGCACTGGTTATGCTTTAGGAGTACAATGAGGGCAGTGGGCTATTAATTAATTCTGTTTTTAAGAATTCTGTGGAATTGCTGTGTACGACTATACAATTTAAATTAGAGCAATTATACTCTGGGAAAAAGAAAACACAGAAGTTGAAGGACTGGTACATAAGTTATTCCTGGGGGTAGCATATATGTAGATGCAAAGCATTAGATTATGTAGGAAAAGAGATAAAGTAGATCCCTAGCACTTGTAGACTAAATATTTTTTGTCTCAATAATATCTAAAGCAACCCTAACATAAACGATACTAAAAGAAACAATTCTGTTTATTATATATACATATATGTAGAAGGGTTTGTTATATATGTATTATATACACACATATAGATACATGTACATATACACGTACAGCAATTTATCTAATTACATTTGTAAGTTAAATGCCGGTAGTACAATTGCTAGGTTAAAGGGCATCCCCTTTTTAAAAATAAACACATACTTCCAAACAGCCCTCAGAAAGAAAGACTAATTTATTAGATTTCCATCAATAGAAAGTCCCCATTTCCAAATAATCCTTTCTATCATATTTAATTTCCAGTTTTTGGTCATCAGAGGTTTAATGCTCCCTCCCACCATGTTTTTATTTCTCATTTGGTGAATTATATATTCCTGTCTGTACAACCTATACTTTTACTGGATGTTAGTCCTTTTTCTTAGTAATTGCTAAGAGTTCTCTAGAGACAAAGGGGTTTTGGTACTCAATATAAAACCATCAAAGCCATCTCTTTTTCAAGAACACTATCTAAACTATGTTTAGATATCTCACTGAAAAATCAGAACTCTAAGAGTAAATTTAAGAGACTATTAAACTTTCCACACTCACTAACTTTGCTACTTTAATAAGAAGCAGATTATTTCTCGAAATTTCTAAAAAACTTCAAAAGCACTTCATTAACAAAACAGGGGATATAGTATCTGCTACATACCAACAAAACAGAACATGATGATTTTTTTCATCACAACAAAATAATCTACTATCATCCTTTTAAAGGTACGACAAGCAGGTTTAACTTACCTCTACGTGCCCGCTACTGGCACAGAGAAAGCAAACCACTCTGGGTGTTATAGGGACAGAGGTTAAGATTCCCAAGCCTCCCATCTCCCATACATTTTCTGTTTCACAATCCTCCTGTGGAAAGAAGAATCATTTATGAAAGTTTTATAATGACACAACTTTGGATAAAAAATAAGGATAAAAAAAGGTAAAATTAGACCAGAACGTCAAGAATAATTTATTTCAGTGAGTTCAAAAATAACTGCTACTTTAAATTTTTTAACCTCACATACAAACTGTTAAAAGGCTCATCTACTGGTTCAATTCACATTAACCAAAAAGCAAAGATATACTGGGATTCAACTTCTCTGTTTTGTTGCTTCATCATCAAGCAATCATCATCGTTTGATAAGTCCTTTGTAAAAGAATTATTTCTTCAGATACTGTTCTCATCTAAACGCACTTTATTACTCAGGATGGGAAGCAGTATTTCAATGCCCATGTTCTTCAGTCAGTTCACAAACAGTGACCAAAAGCTCTCATACACCTGAACCCACCTGCTAATGGTAGTTCTGAATCATTCCTTCACTTAGTGCTGAATTTCCCCTCCTTTAACACCTTTGGTAACATCACTTTCTTCATCTAAAGTCCACAACACTCAATATACTACATGGTTACTAAACACTTTTACCTTAAAGTCCACTCTGATCCTGTGGACTCCATCTGCTGGGATTTTTTGCTTAGAACTATTGCCATTGGAGAGAGTGCTGAGGATGTTCAAAGTGCCAGCATTCTCCTGCTTACTGACTGGAGGTGGTTTTTCCTACAGGGATAGAAGATAAATAAATAACAAACCCACACCCTACATGCCTTCACTTTTACAACAGAAAATAATGCAAATGATAAACCTTATTAATAGATCTGGAAAACATGTTTTCAACATAAGTATCTTATAGAAATGGAGAAGTAATCTTTAGATTTTTTTTTTCCACTGTGGCATTTTATTTGCACATATATATTATATCCCTCAAAAAAGTCCTAGGACTTGTGTTTTCGTCTTGCTTCTTCATGGTCCATGATGCCCGCTGAGGTTGTCAGCACAGTGAAACCAAACTGACGGGACAGGGACAGGTTATTCTGCCAATTTTTTAAATCTTTGAGTTGTACATGCAATCTGGGCTGATTCCCCCACACTTGTTTAACCTGCCTACAAGGTTCACAACAATTTTCCCAGCTCTGTGGTCATCAATGATTTTAAATTTGCCAATGTAACCATTCTTCATCATCACAGTGAGAAACCAGATGACGACATGGCCTAATAAGAACTGGTGTTTGCTTCTCTTTTTGGCACTGTTGATGCTCTTGAGGGCACCAGCCAGGATGGACATGTGCGTCAATACAGTGGCATGGAATGATGCTGTAAAGAGCCAGAAGATTCTTAAAAATCTCCCCACAACTCCTCTCTTCCTTCCTCTCTCTCTCCTTCTTTCTCTCTCTCTTTCTCTCTGTCTCTCTCCACATAAGAAAAATAGTGGGCACAGGGAAGGGTGACTGCTATAGACAAATATTGCTAAAGGATGGTGGAGTGAAAAACTATTATGCTAAGTGGCCTGCAGCATAAGCATAAGCATGTAGGGCCACAAAGAAGGGAAAAACAATCAGGGGAAAGAGACCAAAATAAAGATATAAGCTAAAGCCTAAACCTGAAGTTTGTTAATTTTAAGAATTCCACTGCCATCTACAGAAGCAAAAATGCCATTTCATTCACTCACTCAATTATGTAAACGTCAAGAAGAAAAGCTATTTTCCTATAGATCAGAACACATCCCTGAGAAATGGCAGAGAAACAAATCTCTCACCTTTTCTTTTGGTTTTTGTTTTACAGGAATGCTTGGGCGAGGAGCCACTTTTTTCTGCTTGCTTTGCTCTGGACCTAAAGAATTCAAAATAAATTGCAGTCAGATGCTACTAAACTTACAGTTAATGCTAAAGAGCAAATGACTACTTTAACAATAGGCCTGTGAAGAAAGGGCTATTAGGGAAAAAAGAAAACCTAAACTCTAGACTTTAAATAGGAAATTAAGACAATATCTCCAATTCACTGTTTTTTGCTTCTATTTCTTTATTACTGTATAATGTTTAAAAGAGAGCTAATTTTCTTGAACCAAAGACTTAAAAATATACATTTCAGGTTTCTAAATGCTGTTGAAGAGACATAAGTGTTTTTTTCCTGGTACTTCCAATTTAGCAGTTCCTTCTTGCCTTCCTCACTTACCTGATTCTTGCGGTGGGGGCTGCTTTTTCTTGGGCTCACTAGGAACAGTCTTGGGAACTTCTTTTCTCAGTGGTGCTGTGCTAGGTGGCTGTGGAGGGATGACTGGTGCTGGCTGAGAGGCTTGCTTGCTGGACTTCCTGGAAGTTGGAGTGGTAACTTGTTTGGATTCAGGTCCTGGGGCAGAGGCAGTCCCTTCTTCGCTCTTTTCCTCAATAGGCCTTCGCAGAGGAGGTTCACTATTGCTTTTCTTGGGGGCAGGATCCTCTCTTACTGATGGAGTAGGTTTCTGACTAGAGTCCACCAAGTTCTTCACAACACTGCTCTCTTTGCTCTCTTTCTTTTCACTGGTCTTAGACTTTTTCTCTTTCTTTTTCACAGCTAGGGGGAAAAAACATGGTAAGCGAGAAAATTTTTATTTAAAATAGAAGTATAGGAATGTAACAATCTTATTCTCAGTTTCTTGCAGCTAAAATTGACACTGAAAGGCTCAAGAGAGTTAATTTAAAAAGCCAAGTTGGTCAGGTGAAATAGGTAAAGTTTATTGCTCTAGGAAATGAAACAAACTAATTTTTATATAAATTTTTTAAATGCTTTATTATGAAAATTTTCAAACATACTCTAAGGTAAAGGGAATAGTAAAATGAACCCCCATGTACCTATTACCCGGCTTCAGTAAACATCAAATATCTGGGAAAGAGCAGTACTTAAAAAACAAAAACTAGTACTCTCTTTACACTAGATACACACAGCTATATGGCATTAAAGCAGGAAGCACTTTGGGGAAGATCTTTTTTACAACATTACCTTTTGCTTGCTTCTGAAGATAGGCTTTGGAAGGCATCCACTGCAGATTCTGGCATTTTCTCATCCTATGATAACAAGGAATACCATATAGTAAACAACATTCAGAGGAGAAGAAAACTGGAACAAGTGTTAATTTGTCTGCAAGAATCAGTGAATCTTTATTCAGGTTCATTTTGAGAGCTGAAAAAAAGGACTGCTTGTTACTCAGACTAAATCTGAGCCTTTGAATCCTCTGATCAGCAATTTTACCTACCTTTAGGATCTAAAAGGAGCAAAGATCAAATTATTTTTGAAATAAGACTCAAGTTTCTTGTAACCTAGTACTAACTAGCACCACACACAAAATGATCAGTTGATATTTCTTGTGATCAAATCAGTTTTACTCCCTTATGAGATTGATATTCATATAGTGATCTGAATTCAAAATGGACTAAAATACCCAACAAGTCCTCTGTCTGCCACTATAATGCTATAGGTCTATGTCAGGGCTTTGATATATATTTCCTCCCTCAATTTACTGAAATTCCAACTTAATTTAAAGTTTAAAATTGAATTGAATCCATTTCAACCACTAAATTTAGTATAATTTTATCTTGCTATCATGTATCTTCTTGCTGATCTGTGAATTCTCACTCCTTTGCACTAATGGGACTGAGAAAAGATTTCTGATTAAAGCCAAACTAAACCAAACACAGAACTACTTATTGTCTTCCAGAAATGACCTCTCCAGAAGTAAGTAATACAGCATTTCTCCCAACTATGTTTTACATAAATCACTTTCATCTTATTCATTCATTCAGAAAATATCTGTTGATAGATAATATCTATTCCTTATGCCAGGTACTTTAAGAGATGTTCAATCACCAAAATTTCTGTTTGTGCAACTCTCTTGATCCATTTTAAACAAATGCCAGAGGGCAGAAAGTACATGCACAAACTGACTTTAAAGAAAAGGGAGAAAAGGTAATTACAACTTCCAGATTGAAAATTCCATATGCATGAAAATATTCTGAGTTAAGAGAGCAAAAAGATGTATACGATACCAGAGGGTGGGAGGAAGTGGGGAGGAGGGAGGTAGATGGGGAGAAAAAAATTAAAATCATTTCTTTAATTAAAAAAAAAAAGATGTATACCTGGTATCACCGATACTTCCTGAATGCCATAAAGGTAATTTTATGAGTGATCGAGTAATCAGAGGGATCATTTCATAAACTATATAAATGTCTAACTAATGTACTGTATACCGGAAACTAATTTTTTAAAAAGGTAATTTTAGTTGACCTAATAAACATCATTTTTTAAACCTAAATTTGTCAGTTTTCAAATAAAAAACCCACCAGAGCTGCACTGATATGGTAGCCACTAGGCACATGTGGCTACTTAAATTTAATTAAAATTAAATGAAATGAAAAATGTAGTTCCTTGGCCACTAACTACATTTCAAGTGCTCAATAGCTACATTTAGCTAACGGCCACCATATCAAATGGAGCAAATATAGAACATTTCCACCATTGCAGAATGTTCTGTTAGACAGCACTGTGCCAGAGTATTTATCTAAGCACAACCCAAACCTAGCCACATCACAAAATCCACCTCTGCAACTAATCTTGCAACTCAAGACCTCAATACAACCACATTTAGTTTTCTAATTCATCTCCACAACAAACCAAGCATAAATAAACACCTTCATGGCTGACAGGTCAACAACTCAGAATAAGACACCCACTCACTTGCAGCACTGCTTCTTTATGTTACGGCCACCAAACTTGGGCTTGTCTAAGCAATTGGTACAAAGACCACAGTCCTCAGGCACCTGGCAGCCAGGACACTGCCCACACCGCCTTGACCGCCGTCCTTTCTTTACGGGAGGTTCCTGAGGTGCCTTGTTTCTGGTGACAGGTTTAATTGGTTTGATGGGTGGAGCAAGAGGTTCAGCATCTTCTGAGCCAGCAACTGATGACTTGTCTGTTAAAAAAATATGTCATTAGTTCTGAGAGAATATCTAATTCCTTGTCGGAAGTAAAGATGGAGAGTCTTAAAATCCATTTGTTATCATACACATCCAAACTTTGTTTTAATTGGGGCTCCAAAAAATAAAATGCATTATAATAAAAATATTCATGTGCAGAACTTAGAACCTGTTTAAATAATTATTTGCCTAATAACTTGCAGCTTGATGAGAGCAGAAATCCAAATACTGAAAATAAAACAGTCTAACCTAAAGTTCAAGAATATGAAATGAATGCTTTTGAAGATTCTCTAAACCTCTGAATTTTATATGGCAGTCACCCAGCATTTAAGAACTATATGGCAACTGTGAGAATGTGCCTCCAATCCCAAGGAGCACAACTGACCAAGAGTTCCAGCTGCTGCACTCTGAGTCTGCACTTATCATGGGAGTTGTGCCCAGGCAGTGACTGAGCGAGGCAGGGATGCTAAGGTAGACCTGTTCTTGAGAGCCAGAGGACTCCTCAGACAGTCAGCTTTTGCTCAAGGATAGTCTTGCCAAACTTTATTACATTGTATGGCAGTTTAGGAAGATCTACTCAAGGATTCTCTCCCTCCTTCATTAGGGTCAGACTTGCAGAGCAGTCTGATAGCTCTCCCAGCCTTCCCTGGCTCCCTCTCCATTTTCCCTCACAGGCATTACCTCTAATAAAAGCCTTGTGCATGTACTCCCCTCTTGCTGTTTTCTGGAGGACCCAGACTAACATATAATGCTATGTAGAGCCTACTAGGCATCCCAAGAATGATCAGCAAACAAATTGAATATCTGCTAAGATTTCAAGGTTTGATATCTCTGACCTACCATCATTCCCCATGGAAGACAAAATCTTTTCCCGTTCTTCCCATGGTAAGGCACTCAGGGTGGGCATGTCATCAGGAAATACAGCTCGTTTTCGGCCAAGGGCAACAGCAGCTCTTCTGCAGACATGTTTAATCCGGGGTCCTCGCACAGAGGTCTCCGATGAATCACTTTCTTGACCCTAAATATGAGGCGAGCCAAAAACAAACAATAACAACCACCTATGTTAAATGAAGCCCACATATTTTTGACTAACTTATAATCTAAAATTAACACATACAACTCTAGTTATTTCCAGCTGATAAGCCATATCACTATACAGGAATCAAGTACTTCCGTATCCTAAAATTGGCAGGAAAAAAAGGGGTTCTAATCAAAAAACAGAAATCAACTAAGCTCCTATTCTCAATTATACTACTTCTTGAAAATTTCCCTCAAAATTCAAGTTGCCAGTCTATATTATCAAAAAGTTCAGTCTGGCATAAAAAAGGCTTATCTAATCATAGAATATTTCTTATATTTCCCTGATCAACAGAGAAGTAGGGGGAAATAACCTATAAAGGAAATATAAAAGGCCATGGTTTCAAACAGAAATGTCTCACAATTTAAAGAGCCACTGCTCTTATCACTAGGAGACTAACCAAAAACATCCAAAATGGTGTCAGAAATAAGTCCCTGGTAGAACTCTCAACTGGCAGAATAACTGAAATATGGCCCTAGGCTGAATAACATTAAAAACCTAAGTTTGGGGTCACTGTAACCTAACTTGATATGTCAGCATAAATATGCATCTACAACATGACCATTTTTAAAAAGAACCTAAAGAGCAGTAGGTTTTTTCAGAAAAGATAAGTGCCTAGCTCATTGTGTAAAAAACAAAACAAAACAAAACAAAACAAAAAATTATGTTCTTTGTAAAAATTTGTTTGTCCTCATCTTAACTAACTCAATTCTATAGCTTTTCTGTCCCATAACTTAAGGCCAAGTGCTTCTCAAATGTATTGTGCAAACACCTATTATCTATTACTCTAATCACTCACTACTCAGAGGATGAGAATCTGCACTACCCCACCCCACCCCACCCTCCCTCTATTTTCTTCAGTAAACAAGAGTAAAACAATTTGACTACAAAAACGCACCTTCAAAATTAAGTCACAGATTCTATGACAAGAAACCCATTAACTACAAACAACTCAGCATTCTCTGTAACATGGCCCCAACCTACCTTTTAGTCTAAGTTCACCACTTTCCTCCAAGTACCTGTCCAGCTATTCACCGTTTCTGAAATGTTTCTCTACTCACACTGTTCCCTCTACTTAAAATGTTCTCTTCTATCATTTTCTACCTATCAAAATCCTTCCAGTCCTTAAAGGACCAGTGCAAAATGCCACCACTTCCTCTACCCTTTCCCTGATTCCCAACCGGATGTAATTAAAACAGCCTAAAATTTGCTCTTAGAAGGGGTTCAATATTCTGTTGATTTTAACAGGCAAGATGGAAAAGAGTACCTGTGCTTTGGGCTGGTCAGTTTGTTTAAGACTCTTACTCTTCTCGATCTTGCAGAGCTGGGCTTTGGCCTTTTTTAGGAGGCTGGCAACCCTCTTGTCAGTCATTGGAAGCTTGTCTGCCTGAGCCAACATGGAGCCTATGGAGGAAGTGGAATGTTTAACAGTGCTAGATGAAGGAGTGGAAAGGCAGAGGGTTTTCTCCTTCTCCGGGGATGGGGCAGTTGGGCCGAGGTCCAAGTTGTTTTTTTCCAGATTTCCTCTCCCTTTCTTTATAAGTATTTTGGTTTTGACAGCTGTTGTATCCCCAAGAGTCACAGAAGCAGTATCAGTCCCAGAATCAAGTGATGAAGACTTCTTCCGCCCTGATGTTTTTTTGGCAGAAGATGAAGTGGCAACATCTTCACCAACAACCTTCTCTTTGGAAACCCTACCCACAGGATACAAAGCAGAACTACTTTGAATTTCTGAGCCCTTTTTCCTTTTCTCTTTCCTTGACTCCCGCTTATTCTCTTTTTCTCTCTCCCGGTCTCTCTCTCTACTCTTGTCCTTCTCCAAGTTCTTGTCAGCATCACGATCTTTGGACAGCTCCTCAGGGGCCTTGTCTTTATTTTTCCCTTTTTCAGTCTGAGAGCCTGGGGTAAACCAAGGGAAGAGAGGAGTAGGACTACTGGATGAGAATGGCTCTGCTGGAACACTAGTCTGCTTCCTTGGTCTCTGGTTCTTCTCTGCAGATTCCACAGACTGAGTAAGGGAATGAGAAGGAAAAGTAAAAGTTGGGTTTAAGGCACTAGTGGCAAGAGGACTAACAGAAATGCTTAAGGAGGAAGAGACAGAAGATGGTGGAGTGAGAGGTGATAGCTCAGAAGTACTAAGCCTTCCACTTCTTGTCCTCATGGAGTGAGAAGGAGATCTTGGTTCGGATCGAATAGGGCTAAATGCTTTTCTTTTCCTTTTTCTGTTAGATACTCCTGAAGATGTTCCAGCAGAAGTTCGATTACTAGGCAAGGTTACAGACTCAAATATCCTAGAGTGAGCCTCACTTGGAGTAAATCTTGGAGCTCTCAGAAGAGGGCTCCTTTTGTGCATATCGAACCTTGTTCCAGAATGGAGTGGTGAAAACAATCGGGCTGAAGCAGCAGTACCAGATGTAGAAAAACCAGATGCGAAGCCAACATCCTCAGGAGTTAGTGGAGGAGGTCGGAAATTATCAAATATTGGTTTGCGAATAAGACCCTCTTTGGCATACTTTGCTGAGGAAAAGTATTGTGGTTCTGACCTAGAATGCTTTAAAGAAGTCCACCTAAATGTCGGTTCTCGTAAAATAGATTTTCGCTTTCCTTGCATGGGGGCAGCAGAAGCAGGCAAAAACGGTGATGCTAAAGGGATTGTTGGAGGCATAAGCCAAGGTGTGTGGTCAGAGATACTGGAGGCTGGCTGCAATGGTGGAGGTGGAGTAAGAAGAGGTGGGGGTGGAGAAGAAGAGGTCTGCTGCTGGGGGGCACTTTGTAGAGTTGATAATTTTTTTGTTGTTCTAGATCCAAAACTTCTCTCCGACACCGAATACCTTCTGCTTCTTCTATCATTATTATCGTTTTCTGGGGACTGAGAAATAGGCAGTGGAGTATGAACTTCAGGGGTATCGCTCCGCTCTTCAGGAAGTACCTGAATCTCCTCAGAGGCCTGAGAATCTGTGGAGGTATCAACACTGGGGCTACTAGATCGGGAGGAGTCTGAAGACATTTGAGAGGAGTGCTGAGAAGCTGCGCTTGATTTTTCAGAAGATCCACAGGATGTGGCACTGAATCTACTATTTGGTGTAGACTCTAGTCGGGCAATTTTAATTGGAGGGTCATAATCCTCATCCTCTATAAACCGCCGAGGGGTTTTAATGATCCGTGAGGAGATGGCACTAACCACAGGCATAATGAACTGTCGAATATTTTTGACCTGTGTCTTCACCTTTCTTCCTTGCAGCTGAGCTGCTTCTTTTTCAATTTTCTTCTGAGCCCCCTTTTTTGCCCTCTGCAAGAGCTGCTTAGCAATTGTTGCATCTGTCCTTTTAGAAGAAGGAATAATCCTAACTGGCTTAATCCTTCGAGGGCTTTGTCTGACTACTGCCTTATCTTCTTTCGTGAGTGGAGGTGTTCCTTCCTTGTCTTTCCGGACCTTCTGGGGCTTTTCCAGTTCTGAGTTAATGAGAAGACCTGAAGGGGTCTTTATCCTTTCTGTTGATGGAGGCCTTCCTCGTCGTCGTACAATCTGTACCCCCTTCCTCCCTATTTGAAGCTTCCCTGTCTTAAACTTAGACTTGAGAGGAGAGAGTTTACCTGCTCTTAATTTTTTAATTTTTGTGGCTTGCTGAAATGTAGCAGAAGGTGTCCGTTTAATTTTTTTCAGGCTATCTTCTTTGTTTCCCTTTGGTAACTCTGAAATGTCCTTTCCATGTGTTATTTTGATTTTTACTCCAGGGAAGGTAGGAGGTCTTCCTCTCTTTTTCTCTAAACTTTTAGAATCTTTCTTCTTGATCTTATCTCCAGATTTGCTCTCTGATTTACTTAGAGGGGAAAATACAGATGGATCTGAGAGGATAGCTGAATTTCGGTCAGAGCCACTTCTAGGTCTCCCGCGAGGTTTTCGAGGACTAGTTTTAACTGTGTATAGAAATTAAACAATGAAGAGCATATATTTAGCTTTGTAGTTCAGGTCTTAACTAAGCTGAATATAATTTAGCACAAGCCACTTTGTACTAAACTCTACTTGGGTCTAATGAGTCAATAAAACATCTTAATTGTGCTTAGTTTCTCTTCCCCAAAAACTTGCCTCAAAGAAATCAACTAAATAACATTTCACCTAAAAGAACAAATATTTAACTACTTTTTTGATAAAAAACTAATACAATAAAAGGTTTTCAACTGAGCAGTTAATATACAAACTGATTTTCCTGTAACTTTAGGTGAGCAGAGTTTTTTCTGATTACAAAAAAAATGTTTTTAAAAAATCTGTACTACCTTTTCCATACCCTAGCCACCAAGATTAACATCTGAGAACATAATTATAGCAACTTATCATCCCATCTCCTCAATTCAGAATTTTAGCTTTAATAAATTTGAACAAAGTGCTCTTCAATCATAACATACCAACTTCTATAAGAAAAGGCTCTTGAGCCACTCAGCCTCCGATATTTTCAATCTGTTTTGCCAAAGTAAACTAAGAAAGTTTCATTGAATAGAAAAATATTCATTCGTGAGACATCAGAATATGATCACTGAACTCAGTAGCATGTAAACTAATCCGTGAAGTGACATAATGATGTGCCCATTAATCTATGCCCCTACCTACAGGTTCTTGAACTAGTTAGTCTCAAATTACAAACAACTTTTAACCGGAATTGATGTTGAGCAAATTATCAATTTATTAAACCAGATTTCTTCTATCCTAAATCAAAGGAACTTGCCAATTTATAAATCAGCTCAATCTGCTACTTATCAAGAGACTTAATAAAACAAGACTCTTCCCTAAAATTCTTTGTATAAACCTGTATTTTCTAAATGTATTAAGAGTTGCCTATCATATCTTCTCTTCCCTCATGACTTTTTAATGTTTTATATGATACAACATTCTTCTGAAACTAAAATCTCCCCTAATAGGCACCAAAAGAGATTTATGCCATTATGATGAACGTTTTAGACTATGGAACCAACTTTCTAATAGAACAGAAATCAACAAGGGTCTTACTGTTGAGCTTTCTAAACAAAAATGTTTTTTCACCAATTAAGTTTAGACTCCCTAAGTAGTTAAAGATTCACAAATCCACTCTCAATATATACTAATTACAACAAGAGTAATGGACTAGGAGACAGCAGAGAAACTATGTTTCATTTTTTACAAAATGAAGCATATCCAGATGGTTAAAAAAAAAAAAAAGACAACATTAAAGGTAAACTGACAGCCAAGAAAAAAAAAACTAAAGAGGAAACCATCAAGAAAGGGCCGTGAATTAACAAAATAAACTTCTACCCAGAAGTATATCACAAGGTTCCTTATAAAGGTAGACTTGAACCTAGTCACTCATAGGGCTTTATTAATTCTGAAACCTCTTCTATCCAACTTTTAAAAGAAGCTTTTGGAGGAGAAGTAGAAAAAGTTGAACAAAGAAGAATCCAGCTCTGCTGCCAACTTCTATAATCCACAACACATACAAAGAACTCACAAATCAGTTATAAGTATCATGTATTTTCTGGGCCTCATTTACTCATTTATAAATGAAGAGTTAAACCAGATGATCTCTAAAACCATTTTCCGATATGAAGTTTTAAGATTTTTACCACATATTAAAGAAAACACTGTTACTATCTAAATGGCAGATACTGGGATCCTACAGGCTAACTCCTCCCAACTAGAATGGCAATGCCACTACCATTTGGGAAAGGAAAAATTGTCAACTTATGTGTTTGAATCAGGTTACTATATAACGGATGATGACTCTTAAATCTAACCCAAATGCTAACAGACATCACAAACTAGGTCAATATCAAAGAGCAAAAACACAACCAATATCATATTTAACTAGATTTGTCTATCCACATAAAATCAAAGAAAATTATGCAAGAAGTCAGAATGGCAGCATAGACAGGGAATGCTTTTTCCATCAAAAGATCTATAGCCCTCTCACTTATAGAGCAGAACTCTGAAAGCCATTAAATGTTATTTCCATTGAAAATTATCTATTGGAAAACTACTATTAGTCTAGAATTTCAAGACATTCTAGATATTTTCTTGGTGAGAATGATAAAAATTTTTCTGTTTTCTTTATTCCAACACAGGCTTTCAAGGATCAAGTAAAATAGTTCATACAGCGCTAATATTTTGTTTTTAGTGCTTTGACAATAGTAGAACAAATTTCATCTGCAAAAAACAATGGCCAAATTATTCCCAAAGTCATATATAATACCATATAATTCAAAATATGTAAATCTGAAGTTGTTCTTAGTAGGTTAACTTCAATTTGCCTACCAGGTTATCCACTCATTCCATGAAAATCTATCTCCCATGCCTCAAGGGGTTCCCACAGAGAAGCATAATAAAGAATAAACCAAAAGTGGCCAGAGAAGAGTTCCATAAAGAGATCTATTTCATAAGCCATTTCCTACTTAGTGTGAGGGAAAGGGAAGGATGTACCAAAAAAACCCAGTATTGAAGACCATCCTCTACATGCAAAGAGGCAAGGGGAAGCCAGTCTCTTTAACAAACAAAACTTAAAGGCACCATGAGCTTAATTGGCCATACCTGAAGGAGACCTTGTGGGACTTCGTACTCTGACTTCTTCATCTGAGCCAAAACCTAAGAACTGCTCATCCTACAACAAAGGAAAATTATTTTAAAATCAGAAACCAAAACATGAATGTGAAAAAAATCCCAAAGAAATTCCCAGAGGAGACATAAATGAATTAGAAAAATTAGCCTCTACATATTAATCATCCTCATTCACATGGATATTTAAAATAACTAATATTGGGATAAATGGACCCAGTCATACAGCTTTATTACAGATATATAGGTGCTGTGTAGTAACTGAACAAAGCACTGAAATCTCATCTTTGATGCACAGTACACAGGGGACAGTCGTAAGTTTCAAACCATAGATACGGCCCAAAACAATTAAAGAACAACTTTAATTCAAGTAAGCAAATCAGTACAATGGCAGAAATGTACAGCCCCAATTAAAAAAAAAAAAATCTTCTCAACAAGTAGTTAAGTCTACAGACATATAAAGAATAACATAAACAATAACATAATCTCTTATCTACTAAATATTAATAGAGACTGAAATTGCCATATTGTCAGTTCCTTAACTCAGGAATTGACATTTAGATGTGATTTCTGTATATTTGAGATCCAAAGATTCTCTCAACATGCATTTTATGGCACCATTTTTTAATGCCCTGTGATAAGAGACTTAATGGTGGGCAGCAGCATCTGTGAAAAAGATCATGAATTGACCACATAAAGGGTGAAATTCATTCAAGAATAATTTAGGGAAGCATCTTATTTTCAGTTATCAAAAAAGGCAAAAACTTCTCCTTACTTCTAACTTTTAACCTGCTCTTTATTTAAAAAAATACCAAGAATTTGACAAGCTCTCAGAAAAGATGGTCTATCTAAACAAATTGATTAATAGAAATTCACTGATTCAGAGACTAAGAGTTCTTTCCAGAGAGAGATGAGACAGAATTTCAGATTCCAGAAACAAAATCTACACAAAACCAGAACAAAATAAGGAACGAAAGATATTTTCTTGAACCTCCAATATATACCAATAAGCCCTAAACTAAGTTCCAACAATTAAAGTACCAAATTTTCTTCTTGGGAGCAACAATCACACATATATGAACATCTGTGGGCTTTCTAAAGCATTGTTTCCCTAGTTAGCTTAAAACTCAAATCACGTGCTAATCTGTTTAACCACTTATTAACCAGGAATATGTGAAAAGATACGTGCAATCCTTTTAGACAAATTAGCAGGTCCAGCTCTTAAATTTAAAAGCTTTTGAGGAGCAAAATGAGGCCAAGACTTTGGATACTATACAACTAAGAGACAATTATTAGACTCTAAAAAAGGTTTTTGCTCTTAAGTTGCTAAAATTATTAAAGTATTTAACTAAGAAAAAACTGAAATTATCCTCTTCAAAGAAATTTTTGTATTGTAATTCTAAGAATTAAAACTAAATTTAAGGAATACATGCCAGAGTACTTTTTACACAGTCTCTTCTTCTATCAACAAATAAAATGTAAATTTTTATTGCGAACATTTGTGAATAAGAAAAAAATCTATCTCTTCATTTTAAAATAAGTGAGGACAACATCAGACATGTGAGGCTAACCCCAAATAAATTTCTGGAATGATTTTCAGGGTTTACACTTGTAGGCTACAACATTACAAAAAAAGAAGCCCAAACTCACAAGACACAATTCAAAAATCTTACCACAATAATGGAAGTTCCATATGGTTAATTGTTCAAATGTACTTTTCAGAAGAAAAAAAAAAAGACATTTAAAATAGTAATCCTAAAAGGTACCTTGAGAAAAGAGCAGATAAATAAAATAGGCCTTGGTAAATGGCTGTAAAAAAAAAAATCAAAAAACAAAATATTACAGTGTCTTAGAATTTTAGAGGAGGCAGTCCAATCCTCCCATTTGTTGGCATACGACACCACTGAGAGTGAAGAACAGGTCTGAGGTCTCAGTTCTAGCACATACAGGCTGTGTAATATTAGACAAGTCACTATTTTTATTTATTTACTGGAATGTTTAATAAGTAAATGAAATAAATTATGTAATTTAGGTAAAATCACTCAGAAAACTGTAAGGCAACATCTATACTATAGTTCTCTTATTGATGTGGTTTTTAGAAACTTAAGCTCTGAGGGGACAAATGACTTGCCCAAGCTCACAGAGTTAATTACAAAGACCTTCCTATCACGATAGTTACAATTTAAAACCAGAAATAATCAAATCATCTACACTACAAAATTTGCTATTCTTTCAGCTACTATTAAAGTAACAAGATGCCCATTTTTCAGACCCTTAAAATTTCTGATTCAATTCATTCTTTTCCTGCATTATCCTCATGGAACAATCTGCTAATGTATGCATTTCACAAAGCCATCTGGGGATTTCCCAACATTCACCAGGGGACTCCATTGCTAAATGCATGAATTTTATGCTCCATATGCTGCAATGACAGATAGTTCTAGCAACTTCTAACCAACAGAAGTAATCAACAGGTGAAGTAATGAAAGATTATTAATCTTTAAAAGAATGTAAGAGATCCATATTGCTACGTTCATTATCAGCAACCTCAGTGAGTCTCTTCTCTACATTTCAAACTTTCACAAAATGTATCTCTACAATCCTAATTAACTCTGTCAATGTTTAAAGTTTGCCAATATTGTACTTTCCAAAATGACAAAAAGTATTAATTCTTTCCTTATGGTCTGAATAGTTGGAATAAGAATTCGTAGTCAAAAAAGACTATACTACCACCCAAAAACTTTCTTTTCATTTGAAATATAGACTGATTTCTTGAAGAATGTTTGAAATAAAATAAGGACCCATTGTTTAAATAATCCAGTTTAACCAAAAACAAAAGCCATCATTACTATGCTAAAGAGTTCTCTCTAGTTTTCTAACTCCGAACTTTCAATTTCATGTAAGAGGCCTAAGAAAATTTAAGGATCCTCAAGAAAGCACTGGGAAAGAACTGCTGCAAGAGGGTGCTGCAACTGAAGTCTTTGTAGCCTCTCATCTCGCTCTCATCACCCCCTTTAAACGCATGGGATTCCTGCAACATTCAGTAAACGAGGTAACAGTACGGGATTCAGAAGGATTCAAGAATTGCCTAGAAATCAAAGATTAAGGCAAAATGTCTACAAAAGACAACAAAGGGAACCAAAATTAAATCCATGTTTGGCACTGGACACCCTGAAAAGAGGGTACTGGAGACACCATGCTACACATGACCAAGTCTTCCTGGGAACTGGGCCCAAACAGCCATTCATCACATAATTTTCCTTCTAACACCGCTTTCTCTGATGAGCACAGCATTCCAAGATAGAGTATATGCAAATGTCTTCCAAACAATGATGTCTTCGGAGACTAATCTCCAAGATTTTAACACTTTCTTACCTCCTTGCCAAGTTGAGCATTGTAAAATACTATTAAATATTTAGCTTCCAGGGGTTAAGAATGCAATGAAGCTACCTAGTATCATTTCCAATGTGAAATCTAATTGTAAAAACAATAAATGTATAGATTTTAAGTAGCTGGTTACCCTTGAGTTAGGGGTAGGGGTAATAAAGAAATTCTATACCTCACCCCTACCCCTAACTCAAAGGTAACCAGCTACTTAAGAACTTCCAAGCATATCTTTTACTAGTAAATTCTACTTTACTCATAAATATCTTTAAATTTGAGGATTTTTATTTTGTGTAGAATTTTAATTCTTTAGAAGCTAGTCATATTTGTAAGTGATGAATAGGAATATTTTTTCCACAAGAGAACCTAAGCAAACTCAAAATAAATATTAAAGAACAATAATGTTTACATATAAAATATAATGAAAACATTTTAGAAAAATACATGAAATTCTGTGTTTCAAAAAATTATGTACTACTAGGACAACTTTTCAAACAAAGCACTATTTTTTTTACTTGTTCATTCATTCAAAAACCATTTATATGTTGGCCAAGTAGAACAGTTATGCTATCTTTTCCAGATGCAAAGATGAGTAAGACAAGATTCCTGCTCCCAAGAAGTATCTAAGGGAAACAGGCAGGTGCACAATTTCAGCCTTCCTTTCAAAAACCAGTCACATTAAAATGTTAGTGAAGGATAAAATACTATGTAATTCATATTCTGAAATTTAAAATTTATTTAAATCTCGGAAGATTCATTCATCCTCTTATGTTAGAATTTGGTTTATGAAGAAATATTCGACAAATTTCAAAATTCTTCCAAAGGATGGCAATGCATATATCTCCATCCTTCAGTATTATAACTAGGTACCACTCCAGCCTTAGAAATCAGAGTTTAGGGAATAGAGACCTAAATCATCTGCAATGATTAGATGTGACACAGTTCCTAGTACCAACAGTGATCTGATAAACTTTCAACTGAGACCTCAATTCCTTTTCCTCCCTACTCCCAACTAAAATAGATTTTAGCTCCTTCCATAAATTCTTCCCAATTTACCACAATCAAATCAAATTTCCTCAGCTACAAAGGTTTATTAATCAATCAATTTTAAGTAACATCAATAACCACAGACAGTATCAAAATCACTGATACTGGTTGAAACTGTTTTGGAGGCTTCTAATTTTGGGTATCATCATATATGGTTCCATCACAAGAGGAGGCCACAGGAAAACTAAAAAATTACTAAGAACAACCAAATAAGATGAAGAAACATCGAAGAGACATACTGTGCATCTCAGCAGCTCTAGTTAAAAAGGAGTAACACTTCTTTGCGAATTTGTTCCAGTTAGCTATCACTTCTGCTGGAATATTTCCCTTTGTGTCTACTGCTACAGGCTCTAAAATACTAAGGTTTTGATGCTACATTTTAAAGATATGCACACACTAGTACTAGTATTTAATTAGCATAGGGATTTTTTCAAATGTGTTTACATGTTTGCACCCTCTAGAGTGTTCACTCTTTGAGGCAAGGACAGTTTACTTATTCGATTTTGTATTCCTAGTATCTGGCACAAATTTGGCACTCAATAAATGTTTCTAAGATAAAAATAAAGGAAATGCAATAAATTGTTTAAAAAACATTAAGTATCTACTGCAGTAACAGCACTATAGTAGAAACCACTGGTGGACTCCAAAGAATTAGATATTACACTTCTTTTAAGAATGCATGGGGAGAATGTCTTCAGGCTGGTAGGACAGACTAAATCCATTCATTCATTCATTCATTCAATCAAAATATATGTGAGCCCATTTTTGGGTTAAGGGATGAAGACGGGGATAAAAGACAACTTCTGCCTTGAAGGACCTGGTAGTCTATCAAGAAGAGATGAATAAATTAATGTTATAAAGTACGTTGCCTGCTATGTTAGAAAGAAAGATATGGAAGCACAGCAAAAAGGCAACTAACCCAGTCAAGGAGAAAGGGTCAGGAAAGCCACTGCACAAAGGATAAAAACTTAATCTAACTTTTGAAGGATGGTTAATCAGGATGGGAGGAGATATTGCTGGCAGAGAGGATAACATATACAAAGGCACAGAGGTACAAAACAGCATGGCATAGACTGAAGTTACACAGTTCAGTATGGCTGAGGCCCTAGCTGATGTGGAAAAGGGGCATAAGGTATTGAGGGAGAGAAAAAAAAAAAGCAGAGGCAGATCATGAAAGGTCTTAAATACCTTCATGAGTTTGAAGTTTATCTTTAAGGAAGTGTAGGCCTCATCCTGAAGGATATAGCTCATTAGTGATACTTTCAGGCAGGAAAGAAATATGATTAGATTTATATTTTCAAAAGATCACTATGACAGCCGTGGGTAGGTAGAGACTACGGCTTTAAAACCAGAGGCGAGAAGAACAGTTAGTTATAAAACGACTGCAGTGGTACTGGGTATTAAGGGAAAAGGGCAGATTCCCTAGACAGTTAGCAGGCAAAATGGACAAAGTTTTGATATAAAGGGTTAAGGGAATGGAAAGAATTAATAAAGACCTGCAGATATTTGGCTCAGGTTAATTATGTGTATGGTGATATTCCAAGATTAAGAATACAAGAGAGGTTTATAGGAAGGGTGGTCATTTTATACATTTGAGTTTGAAATGCCTATCCGGGTTGTCTATAAGCTATAATAATATAAAACACATCTAACTCAATGAATAAATAAATGCTGAAACTGTACATATGAATGCAATCGCTCAGGAAGAGAACAATGAGAGAAAAGGAGGGTCAATGGCAGATCCCTGAGGAAAACCTACACTCAACAATGTCCAGGGGAAAGGGAAACAAAGGAAGGAGATAGAGATGGAACAGCCAAGGAAGACCACACACAGTTAAGTACAAAATGGTCAAGGGAAGAATACACATCAAGGGATGGTCAAGTTGGGTAAGGGCTGAAACTTTTATAGCGAAATATCAAAACTGGGAGGTCACCTGGGGCCTTACCAAGGCCAATTTCAATGCCATGTTAGAGGCAGGAGATGCCAAAGTGCAGTAGGTTGAGGTGTCATTAGAAAGTGACAAAATGGAAATGAGTACAGACTACTCTTTTGAAAACACTGTTATATGGAGAAGGAGAGACAGGGCACAAGGTAGGAAAAGACCAGCTTGGGAGGATTCTTTTTTTAGTTGAATATGTTTATATGCTGAAGGGAAACATAGCAGCAGGGAAGAGATTGAAAATCCTCAAAGCAAACCAGTAATGGAAAAGGGACAGGGAGGAGGGGTCAGCACTGGGAGGGAATACATACAAAGCACAAAGGAGGGGAATTCTCTTTCATTAGGAAAGAGGCTAAGCATGGATTTACTTGCAGAAAAGTTCATAGGCAGGAGTAAGCTTAGAAATTCCTCTGAAATCACAAGCAAAACTTTGATTATATGAGCATCTGTCAGGTGAGAAACAAGATTCCTTCAGATTCTTGAAGAAGCTCACAACTTACAAAAGCTTTTTAAAACACAGCTCTAAAGGAAATAAATCCTGTACAATGATGGATTAAGAATAAATTTAGGGAGGGGGAAATAATGGAGAGTAAAAATCAGATGCAAGGATTAGTAAAAATTGATTTGATAGGAAAGGGGTAGCCACTGCAGGGTCAAGATAAAAGACAAATGAGTTAGCAGAACCTTTTTAATTCTAGGATGGCATTGCCAAAGCTGATATAGTAAGCAGCAGGGAGCTGCCACTGATTCTCAAATGTAGAAAAGGCATAACTGTGTTTGAAGTTTATTCTAGAAATGATACACACACACACACACACACACACACACACACACACACACACACGAGAAATTAGAATAAGAAAGAGACTGAATAAAAGGAGATCAGATAGCAGTCTACAGTCATAATTCAAATGTGATTGACATTCAATCATTCAGCAAATATTTACTGAGTATATCCAGGCACTGTTTTAGACTCCAAAGATACACAGGTGAAGAACTGACAAAATCCCTGCCCCATGAAGCAACAATCTAGTGGAAACTGAAAATAAACTCGACAAATAAATAACTAGGGCAATAAGAATTAATGGGGGTTCACTGTGGGGGTTATTTTCACTAACGTGGTCAGGAAAGGCTTCTCTAAGGTGATGGTTTACTAAGGATTGGCAAACTATGGACCATCTGGCCTGCCATCTATTTTTGTTCAATCCATGAGGTAAGAATGGTTTTTAATATTTTTAAATGGTTAAAAAAAATCAGAAGAATATTTCATGCACATGAAAATTACATAAAAATATTTCAGTGTCCATAAAGTTGTATTAAAATATAGCCACACTCATTCGTTTGTGTGTTGTCTATGGCTGCTTTTGCACTACAACAGCAGAGTTGTCATTTGTTAAACAGAGACCATGTGGCCCTTTACAAAAAAAACTTGTTGAACCCTGCTTTAGATCTAAATAATAAGAAAAAGACAGAAATATAAAGATCTAGGTAGAGTAGTATTCTAGTTTGATAGTAAATGCCCAGAGACACCAACAAACATGGTATATATGACAAAGAGAAAGACCTTGGCTCTGCAGTGGAACAAGTGAGAATGGAAAGAGATGGTGTTGGAGAATGGAAAGAGATGGTGTTGGAGAAGCAAGAGGCCAGATCGTGCACGGCTTTGTTGGCTATAGAAAGGTATTTGGATTTATTTCGGAGGGGGAGGAACTGAAAGGTTTAAAGAGAGGAAATAAGACTTGGTTTACATTTGGAGTACATAATTGCTGTGTGAAGAACCACCTTTAATGAAGTAAGAACACAAGCAAGGAGATGACAAAGTAGTCTAGCCTAAAGATTATAAATGGAGATTCAGGGGGTAGAATTGATGAGAGGAAGTTGAATTAAAGGTATTTTGGAGGTAGCGCAGAATTTGCTGATAGGTTATTTGGAATATAAATAAAAGAAAAACCAAGGATAACTCTTTAAAATTTAGGGTCTGAGCAATTGGATAAGTAGCAGAGTCATTCCAAAACCAGGAGAAAAAAGAAAACACTGTTTTCTTCTGACATGGTAAGTGTTAAGATATCTACTAGATATCTAAATGCTTCAATGCATATCTGTTTCCTTGCCTGGGAATAATGGCCACCTCAGAGAGTGGTCAAAAGTAGGTAAGATAACATATTTGAAGTACTCAGAATACTGCCTGGCCCACAAACACTCAATAAATGCTAACCACTCATTATTTTTATTATCCAAATGGAAATGTCAAATAGGCAGTTGTTTATACAAGTCTAAGACTCCAAGAAGTAGTCAGGGTTAGAGACAAAGATTTAGTAGTCCTCGACATACAGATGAAATCATCCAGGAAGAGTGTGTAGATAGAGAAGTAACCAAAGGTAGTTTCCTAGGTTACTCTAACATTCAAGAAAGTTAAGCAGAGGAGGGAAGTCATACAGAATACTGAAAATGAATAACCAATGAGTTAAGAAAAAAGCCGGTTGAATATAGTGTTACAGAATGCAAGAAGAGTGTTTCAAGAAGGAAGTGGTCAGCTGGGTCAAATGCTGCCCAAAGGTTTAACAGGATGACTGAAAATTATGTATTAATCTGGCAAGAGAGAGGTCCTTGAGGGCTTTGACATTTCAGTAGTCACAGGGATAAAAGCTCAATTGCAGTGGTTGAGGGCAGGATAAGAGGACAGATAGCACTTTCAAGGAGTTTTGTTGTGAAAGGGAGTAGAGAATTAGTAGCTTAAAAGGACATGGGGGTCAAGGGTTTTTTTAAAGGCTATATTAAGACCATTTTTTATGTTGATGAGACCAATCCGGTTGAAAGAGAAACTGCCGAGAGGACAACTGCAGGAACAACCCTGAGTAGAGAAGGATGGAATCCAGAGTACAAATGGAAAGCTGTACTTCGATTGTAGCAGGCAGCAGAAGATACAGTGGTACTTAAGTTCCCCAGTAACAGGAAGAAAAAAGGCTATTAAACACTTTGAAAATGTTAAAAAAATACCTTAATTCATATATTACACTTGGTGTTACCACCTCTGAAGAATCAGTAAATCAGTAAAGAATACTTGAAATGCTCCAAAGAATTGTGTTAATTGTATTAGCTTTAAGAGCTTCAACCTTCAAATTACCAATTTCCAAAAAAGTATTGCAATTTTAATACTAATATTCATGCTATATTTTAATCTGAGCTCAGGAAAAAAAAAATTAAATAGTAAGTTCCATGAGGGAAAGGACTTGTCCAATGCCAATGCCCCAGCCCTTGGTCATATGCCTGGTACATAAAAGATGTTCTCTGAAAAATGAATTAGATTTTACAATCTCTCTACATTTCTTACTTTGTAGAGTGCTATATTCAGGGGGAAGATGAGCCTCTTTGCAAGCACTTTTTCACTGTAACAGAAGAAAATATAGTGATACCTGTAAATCATTTACAAAAAGTGGAATATAACAGTAACACTGTTGAATCTCTAAGAATGGAAAAGTATAATATACTTAAGCACAGTCAAATATGCAGACATCAAGAGACAAACTTCTTAAGCCAAGATGGTTTCTGAAACCCGAGAAAGTATGCAGTTATTAAACTAACATCACAGTCTCATACCAACAGATTGGCAGGGGCAGAGTCAACAACAAATTCTCTGTTATCAATGCATCAAAGAGAACACTGGTTGTTTGAATGCAAAACAGATAGGAAGAGTTTTAAACTTTTAAATATAATCTCTGCCTGATATTGAGAAATGTTAACCCCAAAAGTCATCGAGGATTAAACAATGCAAAGACAATACACTGTTCTTCAATAACAATAGTTAGTAAAATTTTCACCCACACAAGAATGAAATCAGTTTTCAAATATTTAATTCAATTCTTCCGAGCACCTGTCACCTAAGAAACACAAATGCTACCCACTTTGTAATCAGAGAAAGTAGTACCTCCTCATCCTCACTCCATGTCAACAAGAACAAGCAGCAAAGATGTTCAAAACAGCTAAACACATGAGACAGGTGAACTCCACCCATCCTGCTTCAGAAAGAGGTAGCCATAAAGTAGTCGCCTGTCTTAAAAAAAAAAAAAAAAAAAAAAAAAAGTTTCAGATAGTAAGCTATACAGATTTTTGGCAATGCCCTAAATTACTTTGCTGGATCTTAAAAAACAACAAAATATCAAAAAAGGTATATTTCTAGACTCCTACGTTCCAAGCCTAAACTGTTTTACCTACTTGCTGCAGAAGAAATAAGCCCCTTTAATAGGTATACTGTAGAAAATAAGTTAATCATCACAATCACAGGGTTTATTCTTCTCTTGAATAGGATGGAAAAATTAAACAAACAACAACATTGTTTTCAGAGATGGTGCTTTTTATTTAAGAGGTTTTGGTTCCCCAGATGTCAACTTTAAGTAGTTAACTTCAGTTTGTGCTATACGCTCATTCAACTACAAGTTTCTACTATATATTTCAATTTTTTTCTTCCAGCTTGTTGTTCTTATCTTGGTGCAAAACTCAGGTTGCATCTTTCCTTCTGGGAAGATGGGCTGTTGAAAGACCAATAGCAACAAAAGTAATACTGAGGAATTCACAACGTCCTTCTCTCTACAGGTAAATAGGGTTATCTCTCCATAGTCAGTTATCTGAAGGAGCAATGGTTAAGTTAAATGACAAAGTGAAAGTGAAGATTTTCTTTGGCAAAAAAAAAAAAAAAAAAAAAGCTGTCTAGTCAGCCAACACAATTTTGCCCTAGTATTTTTTAGGAATTGATATTCAATATATGAGTTGAGAAGTTTTATGTTAATATCTTGAAAAACCAATAAACTCTCTTCTGATTACCAAATCACATTTGGAAGTTTGCCATCACATTCTGAGAAGCCTACATTATGTTGCATTAACTTATTAAAAAAAAAAGTCCCTGGTATTTTTTTATTACTCCAACACTAGTTTCACAAGTAAAATAAAGAAACATGAGAATTAGTCTTTGCTTCTATAATCTCTTGCTTTCTGAACTTATATCTGTATGACTAGCAATTAAAAGTTATAAAAGTATGACTGTCTTATATTTCCAATTTCTAGAGTTTCTCAAATGACACCCAAGTTTACAATTAGGGAATCAAACTACCCATCACTTTGCTACCACTTGCAGAATCCCTGCAATAATCCAGCTTCACCTTTGAACTCCCGTCATTTTATGAGATTGGGTAAGAGTAGATAGCATTTACTATATAAAACTTAGAAAATATTCGCTATGTGTAAATAATCTTAAATAAACTAAGTATCAATTCACCTAAAAGAAGGAATTTATACACAATTCCAGTACTAAATTCAAGTCCTAAAGCTTCACTAACCCAATCAAGGTTTTAGCATTAAGAGCTAGTAGGAAAACGAGCAGTATTAATATCAATCTGCTCAGACTTTTGGTAATCTATATGAATAATCCCAATTCACAGTTTTCATTCTGACTATACAGGAAATGCTTTCTGCAACCCAACCTATCTAAAAGGTTTCATTCTGAGTGATGCAAGCCCTCCACACAGCCTCAAAAGCCAAGGGTCAGAGGCCTTTGTAATCCTCATTCACATGAAGCCAACTTACTTTAGATTGAAAAGGATTTACAAAAGCACTTGTTAATAATACATCCACAAGTAGTGATAACCATAACAAGCAATATTCTGAAGAGTATCTCTTTAAACCACAACTAAAAATGGACATAAAAGCTACAAATACCTGTTTCCAATATTGAGACCACACCTCCTGTTTTCCCTGGTTTCTCTTGATGTTTAAGATTTCTCTCTTAGCTCTATCTACTAAATTTTTATTCTCCTATAAAACAACTATAAAATCATTTCACAAAGACATTTCTCTGGAGTTTACTACTGAAAGTTAATTATTGCCATAAATTGAGAATTCAAATCAAACACTTCCTAGGGAGCCAATGAGGCCCTAGGATCCCTTGGGGAATATTAAAAAATATAAAACATGATCCGTATCCTCTAGGATCTGAGTAAAAATATACTTATTGATTCACAGAATGAGAAGGTAGCTTGAGAGGTCATTTTACACATATATACACAGGACTGCACTTAAAATTCATCTCCAGAGACAATCATATTATTTTGGTAACCATTTTACCATCACTATAATGACAACCATGATTAGCAACAAGTTCTTTACATGTCTACCCTTTGCTTCAGTTTAAAACTATTTCTTTTATTCTAGTATCTGTGGAGCTGTAAAACAGCTGGTTACCATTCCTAATAATGGATCCATTCATGTTTTTTGAAGTTATTAAGCTGCCTCTCAACCTTTCATTCTCCCAACCTTTCCTCATAGGACTGACTTCCAATCATATAATCATCCTTTGAGTCTCCTCAGAATCGTCTCCAAGGTCTCCTCATCCCTTTTAAGTTGAGGAACCTAGAAATGGAAACAACACTCAAGTAAGGGGAGAATCAGTGTTAGTATTACCTATACAAAAGATGATGTCATCCCATCAGGATACATCACTTTTAAAACCCCAATCAGTACTTTTACAAAATGCCCTCTTAGACTTTCCTGTGATACTTAATTTACTACTTCTTAAAAATTACTCAAAATTATTCAAGTCTTGAACGTTAATAGCTTATGCAATATGTCCTTTCAAGGTATTCCTAAAAGTTATATAAATACCAAATTTTCAATTCAATATTCACTGATAACCTTCTATATGAAAAGTCACCACTGTAAACGATATAATACATAAATGACTTAGAAAGGTCCATGTATTCAGGAAATCATAATCTAATGGGGGAAAGACAGACACAATAAAAAGCATTTACAACGTAAAGTATCCTGGAGTAAATGCTTTAAGTGTAGGTATAAAGTACAATAAGATAATAAGAAAGAAGTTGAGTTTCAACTAGTGGTATCTGTAAAAGCTTCATAGAAGAGTGGGGATCTGAGCTGAGCCATGAAAGATGAGTAATCCAGAGGCAGGGCAAGACAAGAAACACTTTAAGGCAAAAAAGAGGCATTAGTAAAGGTATAAAGGCAGGCACAAACAGACTGCGGAGAACATCTAATAGACTGGTCATTCAGTGTGGAAACATATAAGCTGAGAATGTGTGTTCAAGAAATAATGTTCAAAATGTAGAAATGTAGGCCAGCGAGATTACAAAGTGCTGAGAATTTTGAGTCCTATAGTCAGTGAGAATCAAAGGGTTTTAAGAGTAAAGTGATATAATCAGATGTGTATTTAAGAAAATCCTGGCAACACTATACAGTGAAAAGGAAGGCAGAGAGACCAGTTAAGAGATTATGGTAATAATCCATGCAAAGATAATGGAAACTTAAAGTAGGACAGTAAAAACAGAAAAGCAGGGACAGATTAAAGAAACACTATAAAAATATCATGGACAAGCCTCAGAAATTTATTGGATGGCATGGGAAGAAAAAGGAGTTGAAGACAGCACAGTACAGAGAGGATGAATGAGCTTTCGAATAAATATAAGTTTGGATTTGAACTCTTGCTCACCTACTTAACTAGCAATACAACAAGGAAAACTATTTAACTTGTCTGTGCTTCAGTTTCTTCATCTGCAAAACATGGTGTGTTAGGTACTTTAGCAAACCTTATATTTAAGAGAGAAAGCAGAACTCTATTTTCCTTGTTAAGCATACTACCCTCTACTAGTTATTCTTAAACCTTAATCTGTTTTAAACTCTTCTACTTCTGGTTATTTTTATTTATCAAGTTAAGTTCCAACTCTCAGAAACTGGAACCTACAACTTAGCATTTCTTCTATAATTAAACTGTTAATTGCATTGATCTCTGCAGACCAACACTTAACTCTCCCAAAGCCGAAACTTGAGAACAAAACATCAATTAGTTACCAAGTATAGACAGACTATATTAATATCTGAACCTGGGGGTCGAAAACCCTGAAGAACCTCAGAGTTGTTGTAGGGGATCGCCAAGTATTCATTCACACACATAAAAAGATAAGGAACACTAGTTACACACCAAGAGTAGTAACTCCAATATAGCTGTCTTAGCCTGACAATTAGGCAACTCACAGAGGCACTGTATTTCTTGGTATCCTGCCTTATTTATTGCTTTGTTCTTTCTCCTTCCTTTTTGCCTTATCTCTAATTACATTCTAGCTGGACACTAACAGTACCTACTATTACCAAGATGCATGACTGGCCTTCAATTTGGTTCTAGCTTACTAATGAACCTGACACCCAGATCAAAATCAAGAACATTCTAAAGTCAAAATTATAGCACTCAAATAGGTATATACATATACACATATACCTCAAAGTAATGAAAACCAGTTATCTTGGTGAAAAAAAATTATAGCATTATAATTTTAATTATAATTTCTATCTCTGAATCCTAATGATTAGGGATTCCTAAGTACCAAGCAAAGTGCTAAGTACTTTGCATGCATAATTTCAATTAAGCTTCACAATAAT